TTGCTTAGTTTAATTTTAAATATGTGTGAGTAGTTTAATTCTAGGGTTGTGGGGATCCATGAATAGTACGAAGGGGTAATTGTTTATTGTTTATTAATTGATGATTGATTAATTTCCTATTGATTGATTTAATGCTATGCAATTAGATTTGCGCAGATTTAATTGTATGAGTTTAGCAATATTGATTCGAGATTCGAGAGATGAGAATCGATGTTTAGGCTTAGTTTCAATAGGCATGTTAATCTATTAATGGTTAGGTCGAGATTCGAGAGATGAGATTTAATACCAGTAGATTAATTATGTGATTATAATACGTAGCGACAACCCTTTATAATCTGATTAATTTATGCATTGATGATTGATCGTATGTTTTACCCTGGAGTGTTATTTATTGGTGAACCTATACCCTAGAGCTTTTTATTATTGATTATTCCCTTAAACTTGTTTGCTTAGTTAGTATTAGATTGATTCACACAAACACAATTTTGGTTACTTGATAATTTAGATTATAATAATTTATTAGGAATAGAAGAACATTGTTTCCTTGTGGATTCGACCCTACTTCCCTATCTACTATAGTTAGAGGACTTAGGTAATATTTTTGATTAGGTGATACGACTTAAGCCTGTCATCCAGCCATGTTCACATGGTAAGCAAAGCCCTCGGCACCATGGTCTGAATAGACCTCAGCTTCGGCCGTAGGCCGTTTCTCATTAGGAGGCGGTACAGACTGTTGTGAAGCCATCTTAGAGGTACACTCCCCACAGACGGCGCCAAATGTTTCGGAGGTTTTCTATGTCCCTCGGGAGAGTTACAACACCAAGACTGGACTCCGGACGCCTATACTTGCAAAATAACGGACACTCCGCTTGGGTGGAGTTCTGCCTCCGACAATCAAGTTAGAACGTGTTCGGAAGATAAAAAGTGCGGAATGTAAAGTGGGATCGGGTTTCTCTATGGTGAGAAGTGATCATCCGGCTATCATAGACAGCCTCAATATCTGAGTATTTACTCTCGTAATTTGTGTGGATTGAATGTATTCCATATCAGCCCTCCCTAGGTGGGAAAGTCTCTCTATTTATAGAGTCTTGGGATTCGTGCCCGTCCTAGGTTAAGGAAACCTAGGACTGATGGGCTGCCTAGGAGTTTGGGCCTTGAAGGCCGCCAATCCTACGTGGGATATCTACCTGCCACGTGTCGAGCCCTGGTAGGTCCACTTTGGGCTCTCCTTAGGGTGACACGTGTTAGACTCTGGTTGGTCCACGTGGCGGGGATAAAAATCCCCAAAACAACTATCATCAGTAACACATACACATCTAAATCCCTTCTAATTCAAAGTGGAATCTCGATTTTGATAACTTTGATATAAATAATTATTATAAAAAAATAACATTCATTAAGATATCTTTATTTAATTACAATTATAATAAATCGTTTTATAATAAATTCAGACATTTAGTGCAAGAAAATAATCCCTCCATTTTTTAAAGTGTGCATCACTTTAATCGGCATAATTTGTAGGAGATTGACTTGAATTCATAAATAATATGCACAAAAAAATTGATACATTGTATAAAATTTCATAGTATCAACTAATTATAATAAATATACGATCAAAATTATTAAAGGTAAAATAATTTTATGTATCAAAAAAATGTATATATAAGTGTTTCAATTACTTTAGGATGATTTTTTTTTTTTTTTTTGACAAAAACTTTAGGATGATTAATTTTGTAGGGTACCCCTCCGTTTCTTTTTATTGATTATTATCAGATTTTAAATACTATTCATAATACTTCCTCCGTTTCTTTTTATTGGTTATGTTTAGATTTTAAACATTATTCATAATACTCCCTCCGTCCCAAAATATATGAGACGTTAGACTTTTTTCACTATTCATGTATTAGTTTTGATCATAATTTTTTACTAACATAATAAAAACATATTTTATCATAAAATATGTTGTTAAATATGTATATATATAGTTTCAAAATATAATTATAAAAATAATTTTCATTAATATTTAATTATATACAAATAAAGTCAAAGTAGTGCATTGACATGTGTGCAATTTTGACCGTGTCATGTATTCTGAGATAGAGAGAGTATTAGATAATCTTCAAATTTACTCACAAAAGTAAAAGTATCATGTGAGATCATGTTTGATTCATCTCAACGAATGCTCTATTAATATTCAATCGTTATAATTTTAAAAAGTATGTAATGAATAATAATCAAATAGGTGTATTGACAAACGTGTAAAAGTCAAAACATATCCAATAAAAGGGACAAAGGGAGTATTACACTTTAGATATAGGGTAATTTTGTGAAAATTTAAGAAAATTTTACCAACAACTACCATTATAATGACTACTTTGAGAACAATAACTACCATTTATTTATTTAATTTTTTTGTAAAAAAAAAAATCTAAAAAAATCTACCATAAAAACCTTGAGTAACACAACTACATTTAATTTCTTGGAAATAATCTCCAATTGAGGGGGCTAAAAAATCGGTCGTTTCGACGACGAAGGAAAGGAGGAGGGGCGGTTTCATCGACCTGAAAAGGGAGGGGCTATTTTGGGGATGGGGGAAGGGGGGCGGTTTCGATGGTGTAGGTGGGTCGCCCGAGTGGTTTTAGGGGTAGGGAGGGGCCGACCGGCTGTTATCGGTTGTTAGGGGAGGCGGGCGGTCGAATTTCGGTCGAGCTGGGGTTGGGGCTAAGGGGAGGAAGGATGGTGGTTGGGAAGGGTTTTTAATTATTTTTTTTTCTTGTTTTACAAAAAAAATTTGGACCAACTATGTTGCGACACATCACACATGGCTTTTACAAAATAATATTTACACTTTTTCAAGTTACTGGTAAATCGACCTAGTGGAAGAAAATCAACCCAAAAGTTCATAGTGCTCCCTGATAAATGTAAGTTGGGATTATTGAGAGTAAATCGCTGAAAGTTTGAATTAATAAATAAAAGTGAATTTTTCTTAAAAATAAAACTTAGATTTTGGAAGCACCCAATATAATAGATCGAAAAGCGAAGACAAGTCGAATTCAGGGTTAATTGGAGGATGAAATGGAGTTGTTTGACTCTTGGAATTGCGCTTTTTAATCTCTTTAGTTTTAATGTGTTCCTTTAATGGAAGTGGTGTTACTTATGTTTGTTGGGAGATGTAGCAAAATTTCAATTTCAGATTTACATAAACCCTTGTTGAAGGAGGATGGTAGTAGGTGTTGTTAAACCCATTTATACGTGATAACGGTAAAAGTCATTACAATATCATGACCTTTGTATGAGAATATATACTCCGTACGTCCCACAATATAGTTTCTATTTTCCTATTTTAGAGACCCAAAATTTTGTTCATGTTTCTATTTTTGAATAGTATATAAAGACCATTATACCCTTATTTTTGACTTTTTTCATTGAACTTCCTAATTTACCCTTAACTTATCCACTTGCATTGTACTTTTTTCACTTTCTCTCTCTAACTTTTGTATATAATTGTACTTTTCACTTTTTTCCCCTTAAATTATCCACTTGCCTTGTACTTTTGTCTAGCTTTTTTCCACTTCTTCTCCCATTTCTTAAATACCGTGAAAAAAACACAATAAGAACTATATTATGGGACGGAGGGAGTATAAGATATGGTTTTGTCAGATCGCAAGAAATGTGATTGACATGTATGAAGCATAGTTCTCAAGAAAATTTTATCCATTTGAATTATTGGTGTCCCTTAGGGTAAGGCATACTGATTATGGGTTGTCTCCGTCATTTCAGCAACATTCATAGACTTTTAGTTGTATGTTAATGACCAACTTCCCTTGTTCTATCAATAGTCCCATCGCATGTTTTTAATGTATATTGGTGAGCCTTATATGCATTGTCCTCACTCGTTGTAATATCTTAAAGCTAAATATCGTTAATGACCTTAATTGGTATTGTGTAAGGACTTCTTATGCCAATAGTAACTTATGTTACTTTAGTGTCCTTTCGTTTGTTGTAAACTCAGTTTAATTAATGTAATTTCAGTTGTTTTTTTTTTTTTAAAAAAAAAAATATCAAAAAAACTTACAAAGAATTGATACAAGCTTTGGTGTATGGAAATATTAAAAACTAGGTTAGGTCTCGTGCCATGCACGACAATTTTAAAAAATTAATATCAACTTTTCAATATAATTGATTATTTTACAACAATAAAACAAAAAATCTAAAAATACTATGGACAATCTTTGATTAAAATATGAAAGATAAGTGAGATACATCCAGTAAGTATAAATTGAATAATTTGATATTCTTAAATACAAAGTAATAAAATCGTCTATTAAGTAATTGAAATATTGATGTGTAGATATTGTATTCAAGTATATAATTATATATAGTATTAACATGTTTTGGATGAGGGCAATAAATAATATTGTAATATTGATCTTCATGAGATTTTCATATGTGTTTATTTTAATATTATGAAGTATAGTCTAACTAATTTTTATGTATTAAGGTAGTAAATAGTAATGTTTCTATAAATAAAATAAAATAATTTAATATAGTAACTCATTTTCACTTAGAGAAGGGAAAGAGCGGGGTTATTATCATTCAAGGGGTAGTAAAAGTATATGCACTACTCTATTGTGAATTTTAATAAATAAATAAACAACTTTAGGGGAAAAAAAATATAAATACTCTTGTGTAGTAAATCATTATAGTCGTAAATCATATTAATATTTTCTATTATAGTCATAAATGTTTGTGTGAAAAGGTTAATCAAATTTTTTATATTTAAAGTAATTATCTTTGTTATTAACATATATAATAAATTATTTTCGTATAAAAATTTATTCTATGATTAATTTTTTTTAGTTTATAATTATATTATTATTATTAAAATTTAAAACATGTTTTACTTAAAACCTTTATAAAGCCCCCCTGTCTTGTAATTAGACGACCATATGAAGATCCATGTCATTTACTTATCAGACCCATATTATACATGGCGGGTCATGGCATTTAAAGGCCTCCATTTCTATTTCCTACCTCTCTGAGTTATTTCATTGAAGCGCACTCAACGTTCTACACTGAAGCGTTCTCCGTTGAGTCTAATTCTTATATCCCCCATTGAAGCAGCTTCTAAGGTAAGTTGTTTGTTGTTGTTATCATCACATCAATTTCACAATCTATGGTTTATATTTGATGTAATCTAATTTAATTATCACTGCTTTAAGTTTAGTGTTCGTAAAATTCTTAGATTATGAAACATCATATCCAAAAGAAAAGAAAATTATGAGCGTAATTTGATTATTGAATCAAATATCCCTAAAATTATGTATTTTTCGAGATAATTCAATATGAAATTAAATATCTTTTCCCTGGGCCTAGGGCGGCCGCCCCTCCTGCCCTGCCTAGGGACGGGCCTGCGGAGATTGGTAAAATATCGGAAGTTGAAGTTTTTAAAGGTCTTTATTATGATGCCCAGAAAAGGCCTATTGCCAATGGTCTAATGGACCCCAAAATGGTGGAATTTCTTTCCTATTTGTTTGCTCTCAACTTTGATTGATTTTCACCAATTTATTAGAAATGCAATTGGAATTTCGGATTCTTGGGTAGTTATAGTGTTAATTTTACTGTGATAACTATTGATTTCACCATTTATTGGAACTTGAATTGTCTTTTAAATTATTGGAAATAATTGGAGCTGTGGAATTGTTTGAAAGCCTGAAAATGCTATAGGCGGCTTAGAGAAGAGAAGAGAAATATGTGTTTTTTCCCTAATCTACTACAATTATGTGGTTTATGACATGATGCATGCGTACTGCAGGTAATGATTCTGATTCATTAAGAATTGCTCTTTGTGGCTTGGTATTGAGGTAGAATACTCTGTAATATGCATTATAACCTCTTCTCTTTTGCATACAATTCTGTAGCGTTTGATACGCTTCATGTATAGCTTTCCAATGGATGTTCAATAATATACTCTTTGATTTCAGGGTCCTCCAAACAAAAGTAGTGGTCTATGTGCGACATGCCATGCAAAATTCGAAGATTGTCCGGGACATTATGGATGTCTAACTCTAGCACTACCTGTTTTTAATATTGGCTATATTGGTGCCATTCTAGATGTTTTGAAGTGTATTTGCAAGGTATGTTCTGTATTTACCCTCTTGATCTTTACCCCCCAAACTCCCAAAGTATCCATATTTAGATTTCATGATGCATGCTTGGAAAGCTAGTCACTTTGGCTGTGTGAATCCCATGTGTGTTGCCAACTTGCTGGGTTTTGTCTCTGATGCAACCAAGATACATGTTTCTAAATGCATATATATATCAGAAATTTGTCTTTTTGATGCTTTGGATCACTTGGAACAGCCATTATCTTTTTATATTACGAATTTATCTAAATATGAGATACAAAGTTAATAATTCATTTTATAATAAATAAAATTCAAGTAGTAAGCAAAGGAATATCACAAAGTTTATTAGGTAAATATATATTTAGTAAAATATTTTATTTGAAAAAATACAAATAAAACGTGCATCGCATGGGCTTTATCTAATAAAACAATTACAAATATTTTTACAAGGTGCATAATTCTTATTTATATTTATCAATATTTGTTAAATGTACAAACTATAAAAATAGATTTCATATAAACCGTACATTGCACGGGTTCCAACCTAGTTTTTCCTAATAAGAGAGACAAAAGAGGAACAAAAACACAAAACACAGATGTTCTTAAACTTCTCTTAAACCCTGCTGTATGCTGACCTTATTCTCTTCTCGTACTATGGTAGTGTGCTAATAATTACCTTGTCCTGTTGTCCATGTTCAGCATATTCGACGGACTGCTATTTTCCACCGGGTATACAACATCAAGAATACAACTTCTTTAATTTTCAACGAAGTCTCCGCATTTTCAAGATGTTGAGGCCTCATGACAATGTACAATTCACTAAGCAACCATATATCGAGGACAATGAGCCTCGCCGAATGTCAGTGATCTTTTATTTTTTATATTATTTATTAAATTTTTGTATTGATTGGATTTTCATACGGATTATGTATTAATGGGTTATGATTTTGTTTTTCATTGATATTTGTAGTGATAGCATAAAGTTTTCGATGTTTTCGGCATCAGAGATTGGTAAAATATCGGAAGTTGAAGTTTTCAAAGGTCTTTATTATGATGCCCAGAAAAGGCCTATTGCCAATGGTCTATTGGACCCCAAAATGGTGGAATTTCTTTCCTATTTGTTTGCTCTCAACTTTGATTGATTTTCACCAATTTATTAGAAATGCAATTGGAATTTCGGATTCTTGGGTAGTTATAGTGTTAATTTTACTGTGATAACTATTGATTTCACCATTTATTGGAACTTGAATTGTCTTTTAAATTATTGGAAATAAATGGAGCTGTGGAATTGTTTGAAAGCCTGAAAATGCTATAGGTGGCGTAGAGAAGAGAAGAGAAATATGTGTTTTTTCCCTAATCTACAACAATTATGTGGTTTATGACATGATGCATGCGTACTGCAGATAATGATTTCTGATTCATTAAGAAATTGCTCTTTGTGGTTTGGTATTGAGGTAGAATAGTCTGAATAGAATAATACTCTGTAATATGCATTTTAACTTCTTCGCTTTTGCATACAATTCTGTAGCGTTTGATACGCTTCATGTATAGCTTTCCAATGGATGTTCAATAATATACTCTTTGATTTCAGGGTCCTCCAAACAAAAGTAGTGGTCTATGTGCGACATGCCATGCAAAATTCGAAGATTGTCCGGGCCATTATGGATGTCTAACTCTAGCACTACCTGTTTTTAATATTGGCTATATTGGTGCCATTCTAGATGTTTTGAAGTGTATTTGCAAGGTATGTTCTGTATTTTTACCCTCTTGATCTTTACCCCCCAAACTCCTAAAGTATCCATATTTAGATTTCATGATGCATGCTTGGAAAGCTAGTCACTTTGGCTGTGTGAATCCCATGTGTGTTGCCAACTTGCTGGGTTTTGTCTCTGATGCAACCAAGATACATGTTTCTAAATGCATATATATTTCAGAAATTTGTCTTTATGATGCTTTGGATCAATTGGAACAGTCATTCTATTAAGGGTTAGATTGCGTATAATTGGTTTCCATATCCTAAAGGGAGTCTTTAGAAGTATTGGGGTACTAAAACTTTTGATAATAATGGAAGCTTAAACACGAACAATACAACTGATTATATACAATAAAGTTGCGAATTAAAAGATAATGACAAATGATATTTTACATGGAAAACCCCTCACAAAATAGTGAGAGAAAAAACCACAAACCGTCACTAATTGATTAACAATTATTAGCAACCCTCATAGCATCCCTTGAATTTCAACCTACACCTCCCTAGAACTCTAATCTTGAAACCTAAGAGCGTTTGTAATTTCATCCTGTTGTTGTGAGTGCGAAAGATGAAGACCCATAACCCTTTGATAGAGTATAGTCATACTTTAGTCTACAAGTCTTTATAAACTTTATCCTAGATCTGAAATAAAATATTTTTCTAAACTAAATACAATTATATGTTATATAATTATACTAGTCCTAAACTAATAAGACTAAAATTTTAAGTAACAAGCAAGCAAGATATGATTTCATTTGCAATAAATGCATCTCCAATCCTACTTTGTCCATTGCTGCGGGTAGGCTGTGGCGCATCTTGGTTGGTCGCAGACTAGGCTGCCCCCTTCTAAAAGCCTCTTCTTCCTCATCTACTTCATTTCTTTACTACCTGAACTCGAAACCCACCTTGTGTCTTCGAGTCGTTACTAACCGTGGACTTTTAGGCTTGTTAACTAATACAAAATGTTAAATCAATTGGGTGTATAATATATAGATATTGTATACTAAAGGTGAAACTATCTTAAAATAAACAACAATTTCCTCGAAATAATATAAAAGTGACCTATTTTTTATAGACAAAGTTACTCTCTTTCCAAGAAATTGAACCGTAAAAATTCACTTTTAATGCATAAAGTAACCATATTACCCTTTCAAAAATTTATCTAAATAATTACTTTGTAATTTATAATTTTTTTAATGGGTTATATATCACCCCAAACCAGGTTAAAAATTAAGCTCAAATTAGTTAAAAGTTACGCTATATGCCGAGTGTAACCAATAGTTTTGACTAGGTAATATGGTTCTAAATAGTTAAGGATTATCGATGTGAAATGTTTGAGTTTCTATAATAATTTGCAAAATAAATTGATTTATTAATAGTTTCAATTGAATTACACTTTGATCATATTAAATGTATTGGATATGGATGTTATGTGTTCATGTCTGATTGCACAATGAAAAGTTATTCTGTGCCATGGCTAACTATAATACGGAGAGAGAAGAAGTGATAACAAGAAATAGAAGTAGTAGATATGCAATGCTCTGTTGTTGCTTTGAACTTAAGTGATATAGTATAATGAGAAGCTAGAAGTAGCGTAAGGTGAGTTATTGGTGGATGTGAGTTGTTGACATATGCTGTGAAAAATTAGAGTTAAATGTTATTGTGTCTGAATTTCCTTATATAATGTCGTTACTAAAATTACTTCCAATTATTTTGCTTTTATGATTCCAATTTTGGTTCATGTAGCCGACTCCACTTATGAGATTAAGGCTTTGATTGATTGATTCCTTAATATTTTTTTTTTTGGCTATAATTAGAATCATAGTATCTACTTGGGAAGTTAGGATTTTGAGGACATATAGGACCCACCTCAGATGTTGAGACCTGTGTTCAAAGCATAAACTTAGTTGGTAACAATTTCGAAAACCATGACTACTTTATTAAGGTGCTTAGGAGGGTGACTAAGAGGATTGAGGGTGTGGAGGAGGTCCTTGATGCCAATAAATTTTGCACAGTGGAAAACTGCCTTATTTTTTTTTATTTTTTTAATGGCTTTTTTTGGGGTTAAATGAGATACTTTATGAGTTTAAAAAAAAAAAGAAGATACTTTTATCAGTTTAGAAGCTTTTTCTTGCAGATCAGAGCCTTTGCACTGCCTATAGAAGCAACATCATTAAACTAGGTGTAGACTGCGTCAAACCTCCTTGAAAAAGGCCAACCATGGTGTCCAGACTTGTTTTAATTGTACTGTGTTAATTTATGTTTGCCAATGAAAAACTGTGACCATTTACATCTCTAATTTTTTACAAATTCATGCTATAAAAAGTTAGTATTTGAAAATATTCTCTAAAGTCATTATAAGCTTATACTACATGGATAAAGTTTGCATGATCTATTTTCCTGATCTTATCTCCTCCATACATCAATGTCATTGTTTCTCCGAGATAGTTTGACAATTTGTGATGCATAGCCAAATTGGCTTTGGCTCTTGGCTTCATTCTTGTTCATGTGTGCTTGGTTGTTCAACAGATGAATGCATTAAGATCATGTTTTGATATGTTCATTGCTTGTCTTTCTAACTGCTAGTCTGACTTGTGGCTATTGTGTCATCTAAACCTGATATTCCTTTACTCTCCAGTCTTGCTCACATATCCTGCTACCAGAAAAAGAACGTAAAGATTTCTTAAAGAAGATGAGAAATACCAAGCTTGATTCACTGCAGAAAACTGATCTGAGGAAAAAGATCATAAAGAAGCTGTCCACCAAAGTGGAAGTGCAGTGTTTGAGATGCGGATCCTTGAACGGTAATGTCTAACTTCCCTTTCCTATCAATTGTTGATGTAGTTGCTTTTGTTTGTGTCCTATTGTGTATCTGGTATCTCTTTTTCATCTTTTATGTTAATTTTAATATATTTTTTGTACAATAGTGGCCTCTTGGCTTCATCAATAATCCAGAAATTGTTTAGGATATGTTTTTGCTGCTACTTGTGATAAATTCTTCTTGAATTTGGGGTCTGACTTTTTCTGCAAAAAAATTTCAAATTATTTGTAAATTCTAAGATTAAATAAAGCAAGTATTGTGAATCAAATGCTTCTTTGTAAGTGGCTATGTTGAAAATGGCAAGTGTTTCCACGTGTTAGCCATTTGAATTTTTCTATCTTGAGTTGTTTTAATACATTGGAGAAGAGAAGATTCGTCACTTGGGCACCTTGATAACTTCTCGAAGCCAAACGTTTTACATTCATTTGGAATTTTTTGAAAACACATTGAAACAATTTGGAATTAATTGAATTGGGCAATGTACTATGTTACATGTTATGTTTCTCTTACATGGAGTATATAGGTATTTAGCTTTCTTTTAATGGCTTGGTGTTTGCTGAATTTGTAATTAAGATAAAGGCCCTAAAATACTTGGTTTATATATTGCTGTTCTTAAGGGAGTTACACTATCTGAAAATTTTGTAGAAATTTGCTTTCTAAATGAAATTTAAGAAGGAATGCTAGATTTTCTCTAGTTATAATTGGTGAGAGTTTGAACTTGGTTGTCAGGTCGAATGAGAGGGTATGTTGATGTGTTTTAATTGAAGCCCCCATCCTCACCTTGGCTGGATATTGTGGAGCAGGACACCAAAGGACAAGTATGATAGGGGTTGACTAAATGAAAGTTTTCCCCTCCTTCCTCAAAGCTTACTCTGTTATTAAAGATTGAATCTTGCTGCTTATTTCTTTTATATTATTTTACATCGCTACTAGTTTGTTACACCCTGATGCAGTCTTGAGTGATTAGTTATACAATATTGATCATCATCAAATGTTTGATTTGCATGGCGGTCTTGTACCCAATCCCTTAAATTGGGTCTGGGGTTTGATTCTTTTCCCAACGTTGAAGGCGGTATCTCACACCTCTTCTCCTATTGATGGGCCACCTTACATTTATTAAAGTTATTATTAGTAGTATTAGTATTAGTATTACTAGTATTGTTACTAGTATTACTATTACTATTACTATTACTAGCGATTCAAATATCTGTTGCGGGACTTGCGGCACTACGATACTAAGGAACATTGCAAAAGATTGTGAAGGATATGATTGCTTGATTTTATAATTTGAGGGCCAAATGTCCGATTTTATTGCTTTACTTTTTTACTCTTCTTTTGGTGTATAATACTGCTTAACTTGGTGTGTAAGTATCTGTGATTAAGAGGGGTATTCTCATCTATGAATTGTTACTACACAGAAATTCCTGTTTTCCCATTAGCTTCGTCGTTTTACAAAAAGTGGAAATTTCACTATAACTTGGTGTGAACATTATTGGTGTTAATTTTAGCTTCTGTCGACAAGCTAGTGGCCTACAGCTGATTTTGGGTTAAAAATAATGCCTCACTTAACTGTGAAGACAAGTGTTTTAGTGAAGCATACATGTTTTGTAAATAGAGCTGTTTCATTGTAATCTTTGTATCCTTCTTGTTTTTGGTCTGGTGCTATTTACTCTCTCTTGAAATATTTGCTGAAACTTAGCAGTTACTGATGTATTTCAGGAAAGGTCAAGAAGGGCAAAACTGCATTACAAATAGTTCATAGTCGTCCAAAACAGGATAAAACCCAAGAAGATAATGGATACTCCTCTCCTCTCATAAATCCACATGATGCTTTATTATTGTTTAATCAAATGCTGGATCAGGTGAAAGATTTTAATGCTATTATTTATGCTGTCTTTAACTTTTCTTTCTCTCTTGCTTTGTGTGAATATGTGCTCGCGTGCGTGTGTGCAAGTGTAGTCTGTATATACAATGTAGCTGAATTAAATAAATAGAGATGGTTGATGGATGGAAGTATTAAATCCTTAAATAGCTCAAGTATATGTCTTTATCATCTTGCAGGATTGCGAGTTGCTCTATTTAAATAATAGACCGGAGAATCTTATAATTACCAACATATCTGTTCCTCCATTGGCCCTTCGTCCGTCTGTTTTTGTTGATGGAGGAATTCAAAGGTCAAGCCTCTGTTATTATCTACTTGTGTCTTTTTTTATTGACTTCCAATTATGCTCTATAAAAAGAATTTTCCTAAGACAAATACTTACACTACATCAGCATTTCAAGTCATGTTCTGATGTTATATCCTCTTCCTTCTTAACACTTGCAGCAACGAAAATGACATAACTGAAAGGTTAAAGAGAATTATTCAAGCAAATGCTTGCCTTCATCAGGGTCTGCAAGAACCTAGCAGCTCATCTAAAATTCTGGTAAGATACTGATGATTGACTCATTCGTTTTATATATACTTCCTCCGTTTTTATTTAGTTGCAACGCGTCCATTTATTCACACGTTTTACTTTAATTTTCTTTGGTGATTCACCTTTAAGAAAAAGCATAGTCATGTGGGATTTTGTTATATTTGTCTTAATGTACCCTTTCAAACTATTAACTTTTTATAAATTTGATTTTACTTGTTGATAATAAGAGATATTAATGGTTGAGTTGTGCATTGGCAAACTTAAAAAGTAAAAATGTTGCAACTAAATAAAAACGGAGGATGTATTAGTGTATGAGTTTTTTTCTTGGCAAACATGTCACTGTGTTCAGGATTTAAATTTTGAATCTGAGACAAATACTAAAAGAAAATTACATGAGAATTCCATGTTATATGAGCTTATAAGGATTTGTTAAATGAAGGATGGAGATGGAAACTTAGTTGCTAAATCCTAGCATTTGTTCATATTGTCCAATAATATGTATTGCATGTTTATGTTCTTATAAAAACAAACTTGTTGGTAAACAAAAGTTAAGTGGTTTTATTGGAAATCATGTATATTAGAAGAGAGAATAAGTTTTGTGAAGTTGTAATTCTTTCCTTTGATGTTGGAGATTGTAAAACTAGGACCAAAATAATAGTACATCCATGGATATTCCACTTTTGCATTGTGAGTATCCTGTAGGTTTGGAATATGCCGTTTGCAATCATGGCTGTTAACTGTTTAATTGGTTTGTTTGCTACACATTATATTATTGTTGCAGTTTGTGATTGATTTTGTAAGCTTTTTAATTAGGAAGAAGTAAGGGTATTATGGTTCACTGGGTTTTGTATTTAGGAAGATGTAAGGGTATTATGGTGGTATTATTGAGCTTTTCTTTAATGTTGTTAGATATGATTAACATGCTATACAATTCCATTTGCATTCTTTCGGAGGTTTCCTTTACCTTTATATCTAAACTTTCTCCAATAATCATCTTAATTTTAAAATGTGTGGGACGCTTAAGCCTAAAGGACCCTAGAGCCTAGTCAACAGGCATATGCCTTTAAAATACGAGGCACACTTGTATAGGCTAATGCGAGGCGCATCTATTTTTATCATCTTTATAAATTTAATTATCTTCTCATTGGATCTCATCTTTTATTTATTTATATGTTTGTTTTTGTACTTATTGTTTAGCATGAGATCTTCAATTTCTATGGTTGCAGCTCTAGATGTTTATGGGGTTTGCATTTGCATGTAAATTGAGGTTAGTCATATTAATTAGGGTTATCTTATGAACAAATATAGCCACTGTACAAAAAATGTGCAAATATTAAGCTTAAAATTTTCACAAAACCAGTTTATCTAATGAGAAACCCATATATTGTAATCAAGAAAAAAAAATTCGGATAGGGAGAAGGGGCAGGAAGCATGTTAGGCGGAAAATAATTGTATGACTTGCAATGATTTTAAAAGTTTCTTAAAGTGAGAAGGATGAGAAAATGAAAAATACTCGCATCATATTTGAGTTACAAAAAGTTGCAAATTAAAAAAATATGCACATTGTATTTGAGTTAAAATGATGCATATTAAATCCATATATATACACAATTGCCTTCACCATGAGTAGAAAGCTGATGGCCTCCTTTTTCATTACAATTCTCTTCATCCTTTTGTTCTTATATAACTCTTGAATCTGATACCTTCTCTCTTTCCTACGTCAATTATTAATGTCCATGCAAGGTCTCATATTCCAATTACCTACAGAAACAATATATTTGTATGCAGTACTATACCCCTACAATTCTAAAATAAGTGTCTTTTAAGGGCATGTATATTTGTTAAGGCAACGTTAGTTATGCATTGGCAATTTGGTATTCAAAACTCACTTGTAATATGGCATATATATTTAATCTGATGACTGAATAAACCATTGATATATAATTTAAAGAATGATAATATGGAATGGAGGGTGTACAAAATAATGACACAAAATCCTTGTGATATAACCTATGAGTCTAGGTTCTATCTACTCTATGTGAATTTTAGTATAAGCTGTCATCATCTCTGTTCCAAATTAGCCTAGGCAACATTGATGTGCTATTTGAGTTACAAAAATCTGCTTAAAAAATTGTTGAAACTAGATATGTCTAACATGCAAACAAGAAATCTGATTTTGATACTGTTACTCAAGTTCCACATTTCTGATTTTGATTCTATGATATGTCGTAATATGCTTTCTTTGGTTGGAAGATTCAGAGCAGTTTGAAGTAGATATGGTCCTGTCATGAAGAACTATATTTTTGCTTTTAATTTTAATAACCATGCAAGCATGTATGAAAGTTTGATAGTAACTATGACATTTATCAGGATGACTGGGATTACCTTCAAGTTGAAGTGGCTCAATACATAAACAGCGATGTACGTGTTGCTTTACAATCCCAACAACCTACAAAGCCATTGAGTGGGTTTGTTCAACGTCTAAAGGGGAAACAGGGACGCTTTCGTGGAAATCTGTCTGGGAAGCGTGTTGAATTTACTGGAAGGACTGTCATTTCACCTGATCCTAATTTGAAAATTACGGAGGTTTAAGAATTTTATTTTCAGCAATTTCTTTTTTTTCAATTAATCTTTTTGTTTGGGTTTAAAAACAAAAAACTTTTTTTCTTGCAGGTTGCCGTTCCACTGCTAATGGCATCGATTTTGACTTACCCTGAATGTGTAAACCATCACAATATCGAAAAGTTGAGGCAGTGTGTACGTAATGGGCCAAAGAAGTATCCGGGTGCAAAGTTTGTCATAGAGCCCAATGGGGACAAAAAGTGAGAAATTATTGTTGACATGTGATAATATATCTGAATATACACTATTTTTTACTAGACCATCTGATGAAACATATTTCTTTTGCAGGGACTTATCATTTTCTGCTAGAAAACGGATTGCTGATGAGTTGAAGTTTGGCTACATTGTCCATCGTCACCTGGAAGATGGTGATGTTGTTCTTTTTAACAGGCAACCTAGTTTGCATCGGATGTCTATCATGTGCCACAGGGTGATGGGATATTTTCAACAATGATGTTATGCTTTAAAATTTTCATTTACATCATTGAGGCTAATTGTTGACTTCTATATGTTTGCTTGTAGGCTAGAATAATGCCATGGAGAACTTTGAGATTCAATGAATCTGTTTGCAATCCGTACAATGCTGATTTTGACGGTGATGAGATGAATATGCATGTCCCACAAACACAGGAGGCCCGAGCAGAGGCTTTATTGTTGATGGGGGTAAACTTAAATTTTAGTCATCAAATTACTAGATTTTATTGATCCCAATAATTGCTTTCAGACGAATTTAGTTACAACTATCTTATATAGTCAGATGTGGTTGGTTAAGTGCATACTCACAATTCTTGGATGTGCTGTGAATTGTGATTTTTCCCTTATCATGTGGCTAGTTATTGTGATGTGTAAATAGTTTTGTAATCTGTTTATTTGTTACTTGTTTGGCAGTCGTTCTTTGTGCCAAATGTTTGTGTAAGAAATAATTCCGTGCCTAAGATGACATGCAAACTTAGCAGGAACATATGAATGATGTTCAATAATATCTATGTTAGGTGTTCGTAACTGGTAATGAGTTTAGTCTTGGAATTTTATAGAATCTACCTCTTGTTTCTTATAGGTCCAGGACATCATCTTGCTCACATAGTTTATCATGTCACTTAACATCAATGAGACTGATTTTTTTTTACCCAAATGTGGTTTTCCTGAATGAGATATGACTTGCGTTAATATGTACTGGATGATTTGTATTTTGCGTAATTATGTACAAGGTGATTTATATCTTGTATTACTATGTACAAGGTGATTTGTATCCCAATTTATTGCCTTTTCGGTGGTGTAGGTGGTAATGGTGCTCTAGCATGATCTTTGATTTGTCTAATGGTGCTGCACTAGTAGTTAATCAATAGTCACTATATATTTTGTCCTCATTGCAGGTTCAAAACAATCTATGTACACCGAAAAATGGAACTATTTTGGTTGCTTCTACTCAGGATTTCTTGACTTCGTCTTATTTAATTACTAGAAAGGACACATTTTATGACCGTGCAACATTTTCTCTTATGTGTTCTTATATGGGAGATGGAATGGAAATCATCGATTTGCCAACACCAGCCTTGATTAAGGTTAGTTGAGTAATAATATTACTAGAGTTAATTAAGGTTTGTTGTGGGCGCTATATCTATGTTCTATGAATTTGTTCTTTATAATTGGATGATATAATATTTCTAAGTGAGTTGAATGAAGTATATGTTCTTTTTGTCTTTTGTAACTGACATAAGTAGATACAAAGTATACAATACTATACTGTCAACCTTGTTAAATGTAAAAAAAATACTTCCTTTGTTTTTAATACTTGTAACACACACTTATTCACGGTATCTAAGAAAAGTAGGTCTCACATTATTTAATAAACGTAAATGGGGTTGAGAGATTGTTTTGAGTATTATTAAGTGGGCCATGAGCTTTAAACAAGGGTAATATGACAACTTTTCACCCAAAATACCTTCCAATTATAGTGTGTTGGAAGTATTATGACATTTCCATTTGAGTAAAGTGTTGCAAGTATTAAAAAACAGAGGAAGTTTATAAATTGAATGACAGTGCACTAAAGCTTTTTATTATATCACAATTGAATAGAAATATTCATGGTTTGTCTAACAAGTTGTGAAGTATCACTATTGTTTATTTTCCCTGGTCTCAATGATAAATTTAAAGAAAATTCTTCTAGATGAAAGATAAGGGGTTAAGCGCCCAACAAAAAATGAATGTTCGAATATAAAGGCTTTGCAAATTAAAAAAAAAAAAAACCTAAGAAGTTTTAGTTTTTTTGATGTAATAGACATTAATAAAAAAAAAGTAAACAAATTTATAATAGCAATTAGCAAATGTTCTTGGAATTATATTCTACACATAAACTTTGAATATTTAGCTTTGCAAAAGCATTACAATTTACATCTTAGTTGGAGAAAAGGCTTGCATGAGTTACATCTCTGACATAATTTATTTATTACTCCATAATACACATAGCTCTATTTAGTGGGTTCATTTCATCATATTTTATGCCAGTATACAAAATTTTGTCACATCCCATGACATGAGCCAAACTGATATTTGATTGATTGATTTCATCATATTTTATGTAAAAAAAGCTTGATAATGCACAAATCAAAAGTTTATGCAACTGTTTTATTGTAGCTTCGCCCCTAGATTCTGTTGCTTATTGGAAAACAAGACATGTTTACGTCGAAGTAGAATGCTTAAATGTAATTTCCAAATCTGTAGGATGGAAGTTTAAATGGAAACCTGGTTGTCTAATCCACCCAATTTAAAATAATGGATGAAAACCCGAAATAAGCGAATGACAGGCGGTGATGGAGTGGGTCGGTTTCAGGTGATGGTCCGTCCCTTGCATTGCTGTCCATCTGCCCTAGGAAACTAAGAGGTGTAGATGGGAGTTTTTTTTTGGACATCCACCTTTTAGTAGCTTCACAGGACATATCATATTAAGAGATGGAGTAGTAGAGATGCAAATTTTGAGATGGATGTGTGGGGTCACCTTAAAGGATGGAATTGGAAATGAAGATGTTAGGCGGAAATTTGGAGTTGTGGAGATTGAGAATAAAAAATAAGGGGGAGCTGACTGTGTTGGTTTGGGCATGTTAGATGGAGATTGAAAGATGTGCTCGTAAGGAAAGTAGAGGGTTAGATTAAGGAGATCTCAGAAGAGGCAAGGAAAGATAAAACATAACACTTACATGGAAGAAGTTTAAATGGACATGAAGAAGTTGGGTTTGCTGGACCATGAATAGAAAGATAGGATCATTTTTGGTAAAATAGTTTTTTGGTTCATGTAGCCGACCCCATCTTTGGGATTAAGGCTTTGATTGTTGTTGTTGTTTTACACTTCTTTTCTGCATTTGATGAATTTGATTGATTCTGATTATGACTGAGAGCAGTAAATCATTTTCATTTGTTTTTCTCCACCTTGAAGATCAATTCTTGTTGAAGCTAGACATTCAGAGTTGGATGGGGGCTGCATTTTTTGTTACTATCACAACCATACCTTGTAACCCCTTGTGCTCTTTAGATAGAAATTTCATTAATACTTAGAAAATAAGGAATACTCTGAAAAAATCAACAGTAGTATACAATATACACATGCTGAATATACCTGTATGATGGAGCAACCGCCTGACATACCCCCCATAGGGTATCCCTAAATTGATGCAAGGTGCACTGTTTTTATCCCAGACAGCTTCAAACCACTTACCTTGTCTTGGATCTCCAAGTGTTGGTGGCTAAGATTTGAGGACAAGCATATAGAGATCTTTGTACTAAGTACGGAAAGTAATATAAAAAGGAGAATTGAATTCCTTACCACAACCCCCTAGCTGGAAAATTATTCAGCATGTCTGCAATAACAGGGTTTGTGAGGCTCCCCAAACTTATTTCTAAACAAATAAATGATTTAATCTATCAGAGAGGTCATGTCGAATGCATTTTTGTAAAATGTTGGTCAGACTAGTTTAGAAGTGTTGCGCACAAAATTAAGTGTTTGAAATAACCATTTTACAAAAACTTTGTCTGACTTTGGCCCAAAGTGTCGAGTCTTAGTGTCATAACATTATGTGTGAGTGTTGAGTATGCTACATGGGTGCTTGATGTGAAAGGAAAGTTGGGAGTTGTTATTAATATTCTTTTTTCTTTTTTGGGTGTTGGTGGGGGTGGGTTGTGGCTAATTAACGAATGAGAATCCAAGAACGTTTTCTTCTGGAAAAATAATATTTTGTAAGTAGAGAAGGTAAAAAATTATATATAACAATGATGTGTTTTTCCAATGAGCTTTGATGGAGCTTACTATTATTTATGTGATGCAACTTTCATTTCTTTGGTATTGCTTACTGACTTAAACGCATTCGCTGTTTTGTAGCCAGTTGAGCTTTGGACGGGTAAACAATTATTTAATGTTCTATTACGTCCAAATGCACAGTTGAAAGTCTTTGTAAATCTTATGGTGAAAGAGAAGATATATTGCAAAATTGAAGGTAGAGATCCTAAGCACGGCAAGGAGGAAACCATGTGTCCGAACGATGGTTTTGTTTACTTCCGCAACAGTGAACTAATGTCTGGGCAACTAGGAAAAACTACCTTAGGTCAGCTTTTAAACTTTGCTATTGGATTATTTATATTTGTAGTTATCATATCTTACCTCCGTTTCACAGTTAACATGTTCCATTTTGGTGTGTTTCAAAATGTTTTTAATATATTTTATTCTATTTTTCCACATCCATCTACTATCTTATGCTATGTCCCACAACAATTTCACATTTCCGCGCATTCACCATACTCTATGTGCCTTATTCTTAAACCGCTTACTTTTTCACACACACCCTCTCTCCTTTGTCATAGTTTCTGCAAATGGCAAATGTTAAGATCACTGTGAAACTAAGCTAGTACAATTTATATCATCTTAGGGAAATAGGAAGCCCTTGTCCTACCTTTGGACTATGAGGACTAAGAATAAGTGTTTAGGTGTAATACGTGTGAAGGAAAAATAGACTGTCTTATTAAGGTGATTGATTATGATTGATAAAGATTATGTAGTGCTTTGACTAGATGCCCTTTCCTTTAGTTTGTATTGAATGATTATTAGCTCCCCTCACTCCCCCCCCCCCCCTCCTTTTTTTTTTCCAGTTATTTATATATTTAAAACGCAAAACTATAATTATCTATCAAATAAGAACTTTAGGATTTTAATTAGTTAAACGAAATAGTTGAGAGCTACAGAGGGCAGTGGGAGGGATATATACCCTAGAAAAGAAAAAAAAAGTCTTTAAGGCCTCTCAATGAGGAACTTACAAATGTCTTGTGGTGGTAAGTGGTAATTTTAATATTTGAGACCCAAAGCTGACTGAAAATCACTCCATGTAACAATTGTAGAGCAGAGTCATTAAGAAATTTGGCTTTGATGATGGCACTTGATATTATTTTGTGTTTTCTTTTCAATAAAAGTTTAAAATGTAGAGTTTAAAAGAGTTCCATCTGTGAATATTTAATAAATTTATTGCTTCAGTATGAAACCCTTATTCTTGCTTTCAATCACAACTTTTATTAATGGACTTTGAACAAAACCATCAATATCTTCAAATCTAGAGTTTTTACATACAAAAAATCCCTAACCTTTCTCCGTTCCTAACTATATGCTGAAAAGTTTAAGACATACTTAAAAAGGGGCCAATAGGTTAAGAACCCTTTAATAAGGGTTACCCTTACCCAAGCTCAATTTTCAACAAAATTGAGATAAAGGCCAATAAGTTCATGTAAGCCTTCATAAGGGAAAATAAGTTCAGATGAGCTCATATATGGGAAACTAAGTTCACACAAGGCTTTTGGATGTGGAAAGAACAAAGCCTAAAGAAGATGATGCCATATTCTATAACCTGTTTGCTATTCAAATTTTTTTAAAAGGGTAATACAAGCCTCTAAGAAGTCGAGTTTTGATAATTCTTATTGCCTGCTTTGAAAATTGGATGGCTATTTTATTCTGAAGCCAGCATGTTGGCTTCAATATACATGAGCGATCCTGATTTTTGTAGGAATACCTGAGTTGCTAGATATGACATTGCAACAACTTGATGACTCTGAAGATTGTTTTTAAACTAATGCAGGAAATGGCAATAAAGTTGGGCTTTTCTCTGTCCTTGTTCGAGACTATAATGCGCATGCTGCTGCTGCTTGCATGAATCGATTAGCAAAACTGAGGTAAATTCTCAACAATGTTGCTAGTGCATATTCTTTTGCTTTATTTCAGGTCAAGAAAATTCTGTTATGATTTTGGCAAAGTTGGTACGCTATGTCAAATTTGAGTTAAACTTGTAAAGAGTTTATATATTCCATCCTATTTGGCCATTATATTTATTCCATATACATTCAACTAGAATATTATTCTATTATTTGATGTGTCAAGTATCTTTATTAATGTGTTACTTATACGTATATCATATAGACATACTATGGTAAAAGTAATATGGAGCTACAACTTTACAGAACACAAGATAAGATTTAGTGACTAAAAATTATTCTACTTAAATAACATTTTAGTATCTATCTCCACCTATAATTACATAGTAATATATGTTAGGAAAAAAAAGATAAATTAAAAGATGTACTACGCATATGAAAGCAAGTAACTTTTTGATATAATTAATGATTTATTATTATAAGATGTGTATGTAATTTTCTTATAAATAAAAAAAAAAATCGATCTTATCATATATTTATTCATTGAAAGATTAATTAATGCAACTATTAAATTTTATTAACATATTTCTTTAGATAGTAATGAACAAATTTAGGTAAGTTTAAGCATGTCGTAATCTATTGTAATCTATATCCATAAAGAATATTTTAAAATAAAAAAATTATACGGGAAATCAGAACCTAATAAGCTACCAATAAAGTATTGACTTTATGTTACTCCACATGCTCAAACTTAGACTACAAAACCAACACGAGTTCTGCAATAGTTAAACTAATTTTATATTTTGATTTTTGACACTATTCATAACATCTTGGTATTGTAATCTATATCCTTAAAGAAAATTTTAAAATAAGAAATTATGCGGGAAATCGGAAACTAATAAGCTACCTTCAATACAATATTGACTTTATGCTACTCCACATGCTCAAACTTAGACTAAAACCAACATGAGTTCTGCAGTAGTTAAAGTAATTTTTTCTTTTGACACTATTCATAACGGTTGGCAGTTTAATCTTGTTACTCTTGTTACTAGACTTGTTTATGATGATGATAGAAAGTCCCTTAACTAATGTGCCAAAGTCTCATCTTTCTCAATTCCTAATAACTAGAACATTTAGATGAATGTGCTAACTCTAGTTCAGATGTTTGAACTTGGTTATGTCAATAGGATGAACCCAAGTCTAGTATCTTTGGTTGTAATTTGGGTCTTCCAGCCTTGACTAGACTTGGTTTATTGACAGGATATTTGATTTAGAATCTTAATATATAACCTTGAAGTCCCTGGAGGGCTAGAGGAAATAATCATACAAAGATCTATATTTGTAATCTTGTAATCCAGGTCTCTAAGAGAGTAAGAGATCAACTAGAAGGGTGGGGGGGGAGGTGTTCTAATTTCTTTTAGAGGGTTAGCTTAACTGTTTATATCTTATTCATCAACTGTCTCTCTTTATTCTCCTGTTGTATTTCTGTTTATATGGTTCTCCTTCAGGATAAACGACTTCAATCACTTCACAAATATATTTCAAGTTACCATACTTGATGTTCATATGATCTTATTGTTGTAGTGCATGTGACACTCTATGTTTTCACATTAAAAAATATGTTGTATTGACAGAAGAACTAGCATTTGTCAGGTGAGAAAGCTCAAGCTAGACTAATGATGTTCAGCTAATGAATTTGTTATGTCGCTTTTGTACTTCTTAATTGACTACTTGGTGGTCATGTAAGGTGGCTACTGTGCCAGCTGTCCTACTGGATATGTGTACTTTTTGATGTCGTGTGCTGTAGCTTTTCCAGAATATCTTTTATAATGTTTTTTATAGTCTTCATGAGTTTCAATTCAGTGTATTTTTGTATGCTCGGAGCCCTTCCTAGATGTTGGAGATGAGAATGTTTAAATTGTGGTTACCTTTTTAATATATAATTTAATTTAATTTATTTTTATTTCATTTTTGCAGTGCTAGATGGATTGGTAATCATGGGTTTTCAATTGGCATTGATGATGTTCAACCAGGGAAAAAATTGGCTGAGCAAAAACACTCTGATATAGTCAAGGGATATAAAACATGTGATGAGTTAATAAAATCCTTCAACGAGGGAGAGCTGGCTTGCATGCCCGGATGTGATGCATCCCAAACTCTTGAGGCAAAAATAACTAAAGTGTTGAATGAAATTCGTGAAATAGCAGGAAAGGTAATGACTTTTGTCCACTAAAATGTATCATTAATACTACCTCCTTTGTAATAATAGCGATACTAGGCATTGCACAAAGTTGTAGGAAAATTATATGGTGGTGGGGAGTTTTATAACGTAAAGTATAGTTAGTGGGGATATTAATTGTTAAAATTATATGGAGTTGTAGGAAAATTATATGGTGGTGGGGAGTTTTATAACGTAAAGTATAGTTAGTGGGGATATTAATTGTTAAAAGGAGAGAGAAACTAATATAAATGTCGTGTAAGTGGGGTTTGTAGGAGAGAGAAATAATTAATACTCCCTCCTTCCCTCTATGTTTAAATAAATGAAACGTTTCCCTTGTATACATACGCCAATGCAAAACTTTGATTGATAATATCTTTAATTATTAAAAAGTAAAAATTATAACAAGTGAACATTAATAAACTATTCATTGAGACGATTCCAATAAGTACCCACAAGATTATATTTACTCTTATGTATAAATCACAAACATTGGTCAAAGTGTATTAGATGAATAGTGCAAAAAGTCAAAACGTTTTACTTATTTAATCACGGAGGGAGTAGTAGTGAGTCCTTACTAAATAAGAAAGTGTTGCAATTATTATCTAGCGAATGTAAAAGGAAAGTGTCGCAATTATTACAAAACGGAGTGAATACTTCTAACTAATGAGTTAGCATATATCCTCTTCGATTCCATTTAAGCTTCAAGCTTGGGAGAGGCGAGCACAGTCAAAGGAATGAACTAGGATAAGGCATTTTCTTCAGGAGGCATTATCTCCCACCTGATGTCGGAGCAGTTGCCTGGTCTACTTGCAAGGTCAGGGAACCAGAAGCATTGACTTTTGATCACTTGCAGAGTTAATGCACAACTATATCCTTACTAAACAAAGTACGGCAACCTTGCCTCCTCTTTCCTGCCGAATGTGGACGACTATAACCATATAGGACTATTGCATTCATTTTGTATCTTATTAAAAAGGAGCTGATTAAATATTATATTTCATTTCCTTTGGTTGCCGATTATTAACTTTATCAAAATAATTAATCTGTATGGATACATTTCTAGGTTTGCATGAAAGAGCTCCATTGGAGGAATAGCCCATTAATCATGTCACAATGTGGCTCAAAAGGTTCCCCAATCAATATCAGCCAAATGGTTGCATGTGTAGGTCAGCAAGCAGTTGGAGGGCGCAGAGCACCTGATGGCTTCATTGATCGCAGTCTACCACACTTTCCTAGAAATTCCAAGACTCCAGAAGTATGTTTCATCTTTTTCTTGATGAATTTATTTGATGTACTTTCAAAATATATATATATATATATATATATATGGGAAATTCTACACTATAACCCTCAAGTATTGACTTTTCCAAGCTGTGCCCCCACCTTTTGAAAATTACACATTGTAACCTTCAACTTACAATTATGCTCTTAATAGTAACCTTGCCGTTATTCTAGCGTTAACGATCAACATTAGTGGGACCCTCTTTGCACTTTTTAATTCTTTTTTCTCTATTTGCGTGCTAAAAAATATTTTGTTCAAGGTTTTAGGGGTCATTTTTTCCCTTAAGGATCCAAATTGAGATCGGATTTGACCAAAAAAAAAAAAAAAAACGTAAAAGGCCCGTTTTGTGAATTCTAATTTTAACAACGGAAATCCAAATTCACAAAACGGGGCCTTTACGTTATTTTTTTGCCAAATCCGAGCTCAATTTGGACCTTTAAGAGCCAAATGACTCCTAAAACTTTTAACGGAACATTTTTTAGTACACAAATCGAGAAAAAAATTTAATAGGTGTAAAGTGGACCCCACTAACGGCAACAACTAACGGAAGGTTAACGCCAAGGTTACAACGTAATCACTTAATGTACCTTGAGGCTATAGTGTAGAAGTTTGAAAAGGGGAGGGCACAGCTTGGAAAAGTGAATACCACAGGGTTACTATGTAGAAAAACCACTTATATATATATATATATATATATATATATATATATATATATATATATATATATATATATATATATAGAATGAGAAATGAGAAAATGAGAAAGCTATTAATATCCTAACACGTCATTGTCAAAATATGAGAAAGTTAAGAATAAAAAGAAGAGATAATTTGAATTTTAAACCAAGATGATGTGTCAAGTGATTAGTGGTTAATCCTGGGCACTGTGCCGTGCCGGGCCGCCGCGGGCCGTGCCTGGCGGGCCGCGGGCTGGTTCGTGCCGTGCCAGTCGTGCCGGCGGGCCCAGGATTTCGTGCCGTGCCGTGCCGGCCATTTTCACAGGCCAGCCCACGGCACGGCACGACCCTCGTGCCTGGCGGGCTCGTGCCGTGCCGGCCACGTGCCAGGCTGCGGGCTGGTGCAGTTTTCATTTTTTTTTTTTTTTTTTTTTTTTTTTTTTTTTTTTTAAATGACAACATTATTAATTAATAAGTTTATAATGTATATAAGTTATAAAATTATAATTATAAGTTTTATAAGGTAACTTATAAGTTTATAACTTATAAGTTATAAGTTATTAAGTTATGAATTTTATAATTATAAGTTGAATATTTATGTTTTATAATTTGTATATTCAATATTTATATTTATATATTTACTTTATACTATTACTTTAAAATTTAATGTTTATGATTTATTAGTAATTGGTATAATTTTATTTTTTTTTAATATGAATTTACAAATTGTAACAAAACGGGGAAAAAAGGCAAATTGGACTTTGGATGTGAATAATGCGTACTTTATATTATTATTACTTGAGTTTGAGAAAATTGTACAATGATAACAATGATAAAAATCATACAATAATGGTATTAAACAAAAATTGGAAAATGATAAAATTGATATTTTTAAAATCGTACAATATACAATAATTGTCTATTCTTCTTCTCCTTCTTCTTGCTCGTCCTCGTCTTCGTCTTCGTCTTCGTCTTCGTCTTCGTCTTCGCCTTCGCCTTCAAGGTCATCGGCTAGTTGCATAGATTGGGAACTAGCCGAACCCGAACCGGAAGCGGAGGTTCCTTCTTCGTTGTCGTTGTGGTCGTAAGAACGGTCTTGTGAGCGATTTTCCGCATCCAACCAATCTTTGAAACACACGCACATTTCTAGTGTTTCGGGTTTTAGACTTGTTCTTCTATCGTCTAAAACCCTTCCGGATGCGCTGAAAGCTCGTTCGGAGGCGACGGAGGAAACTTGGATAGCAAGAATGTCTCGTGCCATTGCCGCCAAAGTTGGATGCTTCGAGCTTTGTTGTTTCCACCATGCAAGGAGGTCGAGGCTGTTTATCTCATCGTCGTCCATGCCTTTGGTGAAGTCGTAACTCAGGTACATCTGCAACTCCGAGACGTCGCTTTGCGTTCTCCTGATTGATGAATCACCTGAAAACCTTGAAATCAAGTTAGTAGCTTGTGAAAATAAATGTTTGGCCTTCTTACTTACGTTTTTGGATGGTTGGGAAGGCCCTGAGCAAGGAACGGTGCCATATTTGGCTTCATAGACTCTATATAAAGCAAAAAACTGATCCTTCACATTAGTCTTATAGTTTTCTACATCATCGTCAAGAAACATGCATTGAAAGTAAATGTCAACTAACATAAATGTGTTTTCATACTTTTGCCTAGGATCTAATATGGAAGCAAAAATATAAATCAAAGGAATCTGACTATAATATTTACGCCACTTTTTTTCCATTGCTGGAAGATACTGATCATAATCACTTTGATCGCGATGATCAGCGAAAAGTTGGGCGAGTAAGCATGCATTAGAAAGAAAGTTTTGAGCACAAGGATTGTAAACAGTAGAAAAACAATACGTCATGTTATATAATAACTGTAAAAATTGCATATATCTTTCACAGTTATTCCAATCATCATCATACAAAGCATTTTGTGGAAATTTTTGGTTGTAAAATAATGTTAACGGGCCCTTGTACTCAATTGCCTTTGTTAACATGTCATAGGTGGAATTCCACCTAGTTGGGCAATCGGTTCTAATTTTTATTGCTCTTATCTTTTGTTGTTTTAGAAAACTCTTCCATTCTTGGTATCTCATGTTAGAGCTATTAATAGACATAATAGCATCTCTGATTTTGCTGTAGTATGGGCCAATTGCCCGAACTCCATCCTGTACACATAAGTTAAGTACATGGCAAACACATCTAGTATGAAGAGCTTCACCGTCTAATAGTACATCGGTTAAGTTTTGTTTGATAAGATTAGCTGTGTATGTCATAGAGGTTGCATTATCAAAAGTCATAGACATCATTTTATCTCGAAGGTTGTATTCGTCTATTGCTTGCATTAAATGGTGAGCAATGTTAATGCCGGTGTGTGGGTATTCCAGCATTTTGAAATGTATTATTCTTTTTTGTAACATCCATTGATCATCTACCCAATGGCAAGTCACACATAAATAGTGATATTTATAACCACTATCCCAAGAATCGGCTGTTAAAGATACTCTACAGTTAAGGTTACTCAATTCGGCTTGTAACCGGACTTTGTACTCTAGGAAATTTTTCATTGCGGCGGAACGAACGGTTTTCCTAGAGATTCTTTTATGTTGGGGTTGTAGTGCTTTGTTAATGCAGGTGTTGAATGCGTCACTTTCCGAGAAAAGAAAAGGTTGTTCGGCGTGTACTATCATTTTTCCTAGTTCATCCCTATCCCTCTCATAGTTGTATGTAAAGCCGTATGGATGGAATTGGGAAATTTTGGGTTGGGTTGGATCACTAGCTGGTTTTGCACAAGCTTTCATGTGTCTAGATAAGTGTCCCGTCCCGTTTTTGGTAACTGCCGTGAATACACTATTACATGTTTTACATTTTGCCCATTGTTCACCATCTTTACTTAGGACAAAATAACGCCATACCTCACTCCTTCGGTTTTTCAAAAGTAGCATCTCAGTTTCGGTTAACCATTCATGATGTGTGTGATGGTTAGTAGGGGGACTAGTGGGAGTGGCAGTAGAAGGGGTAGAACCGGAGGGAATTCGGGTACTTTCTTGGCTACCTTGGCTAGAACAATAGTTTTGTTGATTACCGATATAATTAGGTGGAAATTGGTATGGTGGTAGTGGAAATTGGTTTAGTGGTGGTGCTGGAAATCCCGACGTATTATATGGCTCATAGTCCGGGGGGAAGTAAATGGGGTCATTGGTTTGACTCGTAATTTGGGGGCTCGTTGTATTTGGTGGTTCCCTAGAACTACTACTACGGATAAGTCGGCCTTTCCCCCTAGACCTAGATGATGGGTTGTTCGATGCCATAATTAACAATTAATTTTTTAATAAAAAGTGGTTAACTATAATAATAATAATTAATAACAACAATTTTAACAATAAAAATATCAATAATAATAATTAATAACAACAACTATAACAATAACAATAACAACAAAAATAAATAATAACAACAATTGTAACAATAATAATAATTAATAACAACAATTATAACAACAACAATAACAATTAACAACAATAATAATTAAACAAGATTATTCTAATAATAACAATAAAACAATAATAAATTTAAGATTAGTTTAGATCTTACAACCGTGCTTCAACGCTCCACTAATTACGATTACGAACTTTTTAATTTTTTCCGATATTAGGAAAATAATTAGAGAATTTAAGAGAATAATTAGAGAATTTAAGAAAATAAGGATTATTAGAGATTTAGAGAATATAAGAGATAAGAAGAAGAGATTGTGATTTTGTGATTTGGGAATGAAATGGAGGTGAGTATTTATAGAATTTTTGGCAAAAAACTAGCCGTTTATAGCCGTTTAACTAGCCGTTGGCCCGCGGGCCGTGCCTGCAGGCCAGCACGGCGGGCCATGCCCGTGCTCGTGCCGGGCCGTGCCTGGGAATTCTCCACCGTGTCCGTGGCACGGAAGTCGAACTTCGTGCCGTGCCGTGCTTGACTTCGGGCCGTGCCGGGCTGCTCCGAACGACGGGCCGTGCCAGGCGGCACGCGGGCCAACCCGGCCCGTGCCCAGGTTTATTAGTGGTTCTCTCATTTTCTCATTTCTCATTCTAGCAATTCTTTATATATATATATATATATATATATATATATATATATATATATATATATATATATATATATATATATATATATATACACCCAATATTCGTCTTCCATTCATTTCCTTTTTTGGATAATGCATTCAGATTCTCTCTGTGATATTTGGAAATTTATATTTAGTCACCTGCGTTTTGGGATAAAATGAAAACATTTTCTTGTCATATAGACATCGCTTCACCTTTGTTTTTCATCAATGATAGATTTTGAATGCTTTTAATTATGACACATGATACCTGTTTAATTTTATTTACTCTTGTACCCAGATAAGAGTCCCGTTTGCCTTTCACACAGCCTTTTGGAAAGGTGAAAAAAAAAAGATGGGTTGGTTGACTGAATGGAAATTTAAAAAACAAGATAGTAAATTTTAGTTGATTTAAATTGAATAAATAGAGAAGATAGTGGGGGTGGGCTGATTAAAATGAATAAAAAAGTAGATAAAGGTAAAATGAGACTTTTATTTAGGGACAAAATTTGAGTGAAATGATATTTTATATTGGGAAAGAGGGATTAATTCAGTATGTCATTAATTCTGTAAGGATCATATGTGCATAAATAGTTTCTAGTTTTATATTGCAGCCTCCATATCTCCTCTTTCACCCTTATTAACTACTGAAATTTGCACTATGATAGAATCAGGAAATTTACTTGTATATCGTCAATAAAGGAAAAATGAGACTTTTTAGGTACAAATATTTTGGGTGATTTGGTACTTATATTTCAGGACAGAAGAATTATATTATTTAAGTACGTCATTAGTCAAAAGAGGATCATATGAGATGAACTAGTTTCTGGTATTCTATTACAGCCTTGATGTCTACTCTATCATTTTCTGTATCAATCTACTCAAGTTTTTGGGATAAGATGCCAACATATCAATATGCTTTAACCTTTCCTTCATATAAAGAGTTAATATGGGATGCTTTCAGCTATGATGATGATACGCAGGTAGCAGGTGGCAGGCTGAAGGTGAACTGTGTTGGATAATCTGATTTATGGGCCATCTGCACTCTATATTGCTAGGGTGACTCATTGATATGAGTTGTGATTACGACACAAGAAAATGAACGGGAGGATTTAATTGATCTGAACTTTGACAGTCAAGGGTTTAGATTGAGAACATTGAACTTTATGTTCTCCATTTTTTTTTATCTAGCGTCACCTCGAGCTTCTTCTGTGCACTGAATCACCCTTTCTGAATGATAATGGAACAAAATTAGGGTCCTATGACCAACTAGGTATGTTGGTTGAGCTACTTATTACATTAAGCAAACGGTTTGGTATTACCTGGATAATGCTTGGGATGCTGGTTAAGCGACTTATTTATATGATAAGGAAATTATTGTAGGGCACCAAGGAAAGTAACATCACTTTTGAGGTTATTTGTTGCATTGGGATTAGTTTTCTGAGAAAATAGAATCCTGATATCATCTAGTTTTAGCATCACACCTCTCAGGTTTCATGAGGAGTTCCTCCTGTTCTTGATATGGGGAGTTTAATGGATTTCAGAGATGCATTAGAGAAATATGTTTTAAACTTCTCCTGCAATGCAGTATGTCTGTTAGAGGCTGGGTAATGTATTCACATTGAGACAAAATTTTCTCAATTTTGATATTTTTTATAAAAACAAAAATGCATGTTTTGGAAAGTTGCATATGAGGGATCTTGTTTGAAATTGGCCTAGTCCGATACATTAATAATTTCTCTACTGACTGCCCCTTGCATATGCATGTATACTATGCATGTATTTGTATGTTTTACTCCTACGCCAATTATAAGTGCTATTAAAAGTACTGCACAAGTTCAAAACAAACATGTGTTATAGTACTGGTATTTAGAACTGCAAGTATGTCATCAGTGATTATAAAGGCCAGATAACATGGAATAAAAATATTAAAAAAGTAGGCAAGACAGTTTGGATTATAGAGAATACGTAGTAGATTTGAGCATGCCTTGTGCCAAGAAATAATTCATTGTCTGCTTTCTGCAGGCTAAGGGTTTTGTGGCTAATTCTTTTTACAGCGGCTTGACAGCTACAGAGTTTTTTTTCCATACTATGGGAGGGAGAGAAGGCCTTGTGGATACAGCTGTATGTTGAAACTACTAAATGTGTATATTTGTTTTGATTACTGTATTATTGTTGAGCTTGCATGTCTGTTTATTTCACCCTGTTTACAAAATCGAAAGTTTTCAAACTGTCAACCATGACATAGCTCTTTATCACGTTGCAAAAATTTTGTAGTCCAATTGTTTACAAAAGTTGAGTGTCATAAACATGGGCCAGTACCTCTTGGTTCATGCAACTACTAGTTCCTTACTATGATAAAGGATTGTCCCCCCTCCTTTTTTTTTTTTTCCTTTGTTTCTTCTGATCTCAGAAGCAATTAGACTTATGGTTATTGTATGATAACTTGCAAAGGATACATATTTTTCCATGTATACACTTGTTAAATGGTAGCTTTTGTAAACGTAGTTTACTTTATATGATGGGAATTTGACTGGATGTAAATTTTACTAGCTGGGATGAAATTGAGGCAGTACATTGTTTTTGAAGTTTTTTGACACCATGGCCAAAATCTAAATCACAGAGTATATGTTCAACGAGAGTACTCTGAGAACATTGAATTTTTTTATTGAAATACTTGTCACAGTTTGCTAGGTAAATACGGAGTATATGTCTGAGGTTATTTAATACCAATCATTAATTTTATAATCTAATATGTAAATGAGATTTAGATCTATGCTTTCTGCTTCCTTTACTTAAGTTTTGTTGCTTTGTCTACTATGTATAGTTGTTTCAATTTTGGCAGCATTAATTCATGTAATGAGTGGTATATGTAATAAATGGCCTTTGCTGCAGGTGAAAACTGCTGACACTGGTTATATGTCACGTAGACTGATGAAATGCCTGGAGGACCTAGCAGTTCATTATGACATGACTGTAAGAAATTCTAATGGAACTATTGTTCAATTTTTTTATGGTGATGATGGTATGGATCCGGCTCAAATGGAAGGGGCAGAAGGATTTCCGCTGGATTTTGAGCGGTTGCGATTCAAAGTGGAGGTATAATTTTTCATAGCTTTCCAGATTGTCAAGCCAGTGTTGCATCTAAGATATGAAACTTTGATCTAACAAGTTACTTTGTGCAGGCTACTTGCCCTGCAAGGGGAAATATGAATCTGTCTCATACAGTAATCTCTGAAATCATAGATAAGAGGCTTTCAGATTATGATATGACTACTGGTGGTGGTTGCTCCGGTGCCTTCAAGATGAAGTTATTAGATTTTTTCAATAAATTATCTGAAAGAAAATGCTATGTTTCTGAGCAGCAACTGCAGGTAATACTTTTTAATTTAATCTGAGTGGGTTTTTTTTTTTTTTTTTTTTTTTTTTTTTTTTTTTTTTGTGTGATAAAAGATTCTTTATAAATGAGCAAATAGCTATGAAAAATCTGGAAAGCTATGAAAAATTATACTATTGTTAAACAAATAATCCTCCTTTCTCTTTCGGTCTATATACTAGATCCTCCTTTCTCTTTCGGTCGATATTTGTTTAACAAATAAAAATTATAACCGATTTTTAAACAAATAATCCTCCTTTCTCTTTCGGTCGATATACTAGATCCTATTCCATTAATTGTTCTCTTTTCCTACTAGTGTTACCACCTTTTGGGCACCTAGAGAAACCTATCACTCGATCGTTGACTATGGTGCAAGGACATGCAAGGCTGAGCCACATGAGTGGGCTATGCATTGAGTCAAAGAGATTTAGCTCTTGTCGGATCTAAACCGATTATAGAAAAATTTACGCCTTGGGTAGTTGACGAAAACAATGCTATATCTTAGTGTTGCCAAGCGTTCAAAGCCTAGAACTTTTCGCTAGAGCAAGGCACACACCCCTCTGAAAATGAAACCTGATTTCAAAGCTTGAGTTTATGTTTTTGCTATTTCATGGTTTAGAGATTGTTAAATTGTCACTGGCTTTAAGCTTTGTGAAGTTTCAAAAAGGGTGGATAAGGGAAGGTTGAAGACAGGTCGATCCGTTCAAGAGGATAGCCGAGAGAGAAATGAGATAATTGAATTTTGGAATAATTTTTTTGGGCTTAAATTTCGGTCCCCACACTCCGTTATCCTCTTTTCCCTTTAAATAATTTATTTGGACCCACAATCGATTAACTTGTTTTCTTTGTAATAATTTAATAGGACCTACACTCCTTTATTTTTTTTTATTTTTTATTTTTTTTTAATGTACAGTATATTTCGTTTAGGAGTACTTTAAATTTTATTCATCATCAGATAGGTACTACATCATTATATAGATAATATGTTAGCAGATTTTTGAAGAGAAACCAGACCCATCACACCGGATTCACCCAAGTTAGCATTCTGCATATCCGTTTTGTACCACGTATCCAATTGAACCTCGTCCCTTGTAACCTTGATATCTATTGTCTTTTTATTCATAGCATTGCTAAACCAGAAATCTAGCTTAGAAATCTCTATTGTTATTTATGGCTGTTTCATGGTCAAGGTGAACTCACATAGAATGTTGGCTTACAGCTTCCAAGGAAAAAATAACCAGGAAGTGTTTACTCTTCTGTTGGTAATCTTGCAGATTATGTACTTCGTATAAAACTACACATGCAGGGTGTTGTTCCTAATTCCTGCTATTGACAGTAGCACCGAAGCTTGTCAGATTTGCATATTTTTTATTTTTACTTGGGTGTATTCATGTATGGTATAATTGTATGTCTCAAGTGCCATGTTTTTGGTACTAATATTAACATACGGAAAAGGAGCTGCGGTATATATTGCTGTTTTGGCTTCACACATTTCTCTGTTTACACATTTCTAATATATATATTTTTAATTTTCTTATTGGTCAAACATTGTGAAGGTGTTCTTGGATGCTTGCATTTCTCGGCTTCGTTTAAAAAGGATTGAAGCTGGAACTGCTATTGGAGCAATTGGGGCTCAGAGTATAGGAGAGCCAGGGACGCAAATGACTTTGAAAACTTTTCATTTTGCTGGGGTTGCCAGCATGAGTAAGTATCCATTGTTGAAAGTTTCATTTTATCCTCTCCATTCACCCAATCCCCAATTTCAATCTCAACCTCTATCCCCACCCCCCGTGGGCTAATTAAGTCATGTAAAGTGAAAACGTAGAAAAAGAAGATGAAGAAGGCTACCTAATTTATTTTTTATGTGGCTTGATCCTTAACTTTTGTAGATGTTACCCTTGGAGTTCCTCGTATCAAAGAAATTATTAATGCAAGCAAAAAGATAAGCACGCCAATTATCATGGCAAAACTTGAGAATGATAGTTGTATGGAGATTGCGGAAACTGTAAAGGGTCAAATTGAAAAGACATTGTTGGGCCAGGTATGTAAATATCTACGGTGTACTATTTTATTCTTTTTAAGAAATGATGTTTAGAAACTACTCCCTTTTGCTTTCTTTTGCTCTTCTTATTAAAAAATGAGGAAAGAATCAATGAAAACATTGAAGACAGGCAATGTTCCCATATCATATTACAAAAGAAACAAAAAAAATAAATAAATAAAAAATAAAAAAATGAGAGTCCAATTTGGGATAGTGGAAAGCAATAATTATTGTGCAATTAATACAATTTGAAATAGTAGAAAACATAAATAACTTCGCATTTATTACATGAATAATCAGAATTTGAAAATAATTAAAAGTTAATTTTGTCCCAAAATTACGCTATTAGTAGGAAAATCCTTATAAAGAAGTATTTGAAACATACCAAAAGAACAAAAAAATAGAAGGGGGGGGGGGGTACATATGAAATGCATTAATTGTAAAAAAAATAAATAAATATGTATCTATCTTGTAAATTATTTTGTTATTCATGTCACCTTCTAAAAGCTTTTTCTCGTGCTAACACTACCTTGTTGTGCTTAATAAGGATAAAGCTTCCCAGAGGCAATAGAACGGCTCTAGAGCTTCTGTGTAGGTTTGAGCTGCATTTACTGTATCATAAATTTGGGTGTAAAAACAATCCCTATACACCTTGTGTGCTTTAGTTTGCCTTTTAATCCTCTCTTCCAACTCTACAAAAATGCCTTGCCGTAGCCCAAAAGAGCTCTTGACTCCTACATCCTTGGTCTAAAGTGCTAAGGTGTGCTATTTATACCGTTGTAACAAAGTCCATCCAATGTCTCCTTTTGTGGGTCCAGTTTTTGTGTCTGTTTACTTCTTTTTTGTTTTTTTTTTTTTTTTGACCTTTTACTTTTCATCTTCTTTTGTTTTTTAGGTTGCGAAGAGCATAAAGCTTGTTATGACTTCAAGCAGAGCCTCTGTCGTTGTTAAACTTGACATGAAAAAAATTAATGCTTTACGACTGTGTATAAATGCCTATACTGTCAAGGACAATATCGAAAGATCTTTGGCGAAGCGGAAGAATGACAAACTGGTAAAAAGAAGTTCTTCTGAATTTTTTCCGTTTAGTTTTACATAGTTTTGATCTGCATTTAATGCACTATTATCTGCAGAATGTTAACGTTTCTGATGAGGTGAAGCTGGATGTCATGCCAGATTGTGATAGGCATACTGCTCATTTTGTACTACATCGTCTTAAAAATAAGCTCTCCACTATTGTTGTTAAGGTAGGTTAGAGAATTTTCTGTTGCTGTTTTAGGTACTGTTGCTGTTTTGATGTTATGTCAAAAATATTAGATTCTTTAGTTTAACCAGTAACTTATATTTTCAGGGTATTGATACCATTGAACGAGCAATTATTGCTGATGTGGAAGGGGAGAAGGGGAAGCTCAACTTGATTGTTGAAGGGTTAGTTCCTTTATTGCGTACTGGATAGTGGCTTTGATGCTTTTTATTGATGCCCATGCTTCTCTGACCCCACCTCACCCCCACCCCCCCGGAAGAATACATAGCATGAAGTAAGAAAATGAAAATAGGAAGGAAAAAGAAAGATCAAAGGCGTTAATTTAGTTGTGTATCACCTTCGTTCGAGTGCTTACTGCACACTGCACAGGAGAAGGATATTGCTTTAATGAATATATATAGTTCACTTTGAAAAAAAAATGCTCATCTTAATGCAAGCCGAGCCGTTGACCTATTTGCCCATCAAAAAACAAACAAGTCATGATTCTTAGGCAGATTTTCAGGGTTTGCACTTATGTCATGTGTATTTTATTACTCCTTCCATCCCTAAATGATGTGTCCGTTTCTAATATTTCACAAAAATCAAGGAAAGTGAAGTATATATATAATCATGTAAGTACATTAAGAATAGTTACAAAGAGTAATATATTTTGTATTTTAGTGAATACAATAATGAAAGTACATCTAATGTATTTGTTGGTTTATGCAAGTAGTGCATGTGGGCACGAAATTTAAAGGGCATTTAGGGTATTTAAGTAGATTAAAAGGTATAAAGTGAGGGTATGTAGGTAATTATACAAAAACTAAAAATAGAAACAGGCACATCATTTTGGGATGCCCGTTTAGGAAAACAGGCACATCATTTAGGGACGGAGGGAGTATTCAATATGCTTTTCCTTTTCCTCGTCCTTCACTCATTTCCAGAGATAAAGCTTTTGATTTGTTGACCTCTTGTTTCTTCTTCTTTTTATTTTTATTTATTTATTTATTTATTTATTTATTTTTCTCTAACGCCCCTCTCCCTCCCCCATACCCCAACTCACAACAACACAAACACCCCCCAAATCCCTATCTTTCCTTAATCAAAATAATCCACTAATATTTGATAGTATGCTTTTTATTCTATTGGTGTACATCATTCATATTTTCCTGTATTTTCAGATTATTTTACTTGTATGTCCACTGATAATGCTCAATTTATCAACAAGGTTCATGATTATAATTATGCCTCATTTTTATTATCTGCTGCATTCCTCATTTTATGCACGGGTATTGCTATAGTATTGAATGTTCGGTCTTTAAACATTTATTCTAGTGAAATTATGTTGTTTTGAATACAAAATTTGGAAATTTTGTTTTAATAATCCGACTTAATGCCATTCGCTTTTAATAATCCCAACTATCGATTATTTTTTTTAAATCTGAATTTTGAGGGCTATTCGCTTTCTTTGGTGTTACCTCCAACATCATTGAGACCACCACTAGGGTGATTTTTAGCAGTGGGGTTCTAGGGGAAGGGAAGGGAAGGGGGTTGTTTGTGGGGGTGGGGGAGGAGAGAGGGGTTGTTTTCGTAGGGTAGGGGAGGGGAGGGGGTTGTTTTCGGTAGTGGGGGGGAGGTAAGGAGATTTAATTGTGGTGGGGGAGGGGATTGGGGTGGTTCTCTTTGGTGGGGGAGGGGAAGGGAATGGTTTTTGGTGTTTAGGTAGGTGAGTTAGGTGGTTTTCAGGGGTGGGGTGGGTAGGGGTGGTGGTGTAGGTGGGAAGGGTTTTAAAAAAAATAAAAATAAAAAATTAGACAATTAGGCGTTGACATGTGGCAGGGAACCACTAGTCCCAAAGAAAGTGAATACCCCTCAAAGTTTGGATATTACAAAATAATCGAAAGTTGGAATTAATAAAAAGCGAATCGGCAAAAATTGGGATTATGAAATCCAATGGTTCCAATATGCTATAGAACTGATTTATAATTTTGCACAAAAGGAGTGTTTCACATGGTGTGCACCTTTGCCTTGCAACTTTTATTACCTAGTTTTTTTAACAGATTTCAGTCCAAACCTCAAAAAAATATTTTTATGTGCTTATTCCGTCTGTTTTGGAGTAGAATTTTTGAATTATAAAAGTGTTGCCATAAACTAGAATTCACAGCAATTGACATAGAATATACATGCCATAAACACTTAACTATTAGCTGAAAGGACAACAAATAACCCAAAACTGTCACCATAAACTAGAATTAACAGCAACTGACACAGAACATACATACCATAAATTTTAATCAAAGACCGTAAAAGTATAACTTTATTCATAGAATCATAAGTTTTAGATGTAAAATCATAAGTTTAACATAAAACTCTACCCCCTTTTATACATATAACCATAAATTTTCGATCAAAAAACTTTTAATCATGAAAGCATTTAAACAAGTGACAAATCAAAACTCGCAAATTTTGACTAGTAACCTGAAAAATAAAAACCATAACTAATAACCTAAGAAACATTACTAATACCTGGAATATCAAAACTATTATTCTAAACCATACTAACTATTAACCCAAAAACCTTAGGGTATGTTCGGGACCATTGTAGTTTTTGATGGTTTCCATTTTTCTTTTAAGAAAAGAAAAGATAACATTACAAGTTTCCTCTGTTTTCATAATATGAATGCAGTTTTGGTTTCAGGAAAAGTCCCCGGTACGGGAGACGGCTGAAGATTGGCGTATTCGTGTGTCATTGCTGACGACCACAATACTTTTTCTCAGTCATTCTCTCTCCTTTCTCTGTACCTTTTTTGCTAACTCCCTTTTCACTCCACAAGCCAGCTCCAAAACTACTCCAATCGATTTCAACATGTTAAACGAAACAAAGATGAAAATTTCATTTACACTCCCCAGTAAAACTACAAAACAGAATTTCTTCAACTAAAAAGCTTCAATTTCTAAGTGTAATAGACATAATCAATGAATCCCTTATGCATCATGTAGGATGGGATTGGGCAGATCGTGACAATGAGAATAATCAAGATTTATTTTTGCAATTTCTCATCTATCTCCCCTTTTCTCAGAATTCCTCCAACCAAAGAGCTTCAATTCTTAATGGTAATAGACATAATTAATGAATCCCTTGTGCATCATGTAGGATGGAATAGGGCAGATCATGACGATGAAATAAATCAAGCTTTGTGTTCACAATTCCTTATGTATTTCCCCTTTTCTTAGATGTTATTTCTTTCAATTTAGTGTGGATTATATAGATTGTGAGATTTGTATACCATCTACCTTTGATGATAAGGTGGTTGATTGAAGGTTGTCAAGGACTGGAAATTGGAGAACATGTGAGTGTTTAATATTTGCTGTTGGGTAATTTGTTTTGTTCTAACATCTAGTTTGGATGGCAAATAGCTTTAAATTTGTCAATGGTTTAAATTGCTTTGGTATAGAATACAGAGCATAAGTCTATAAGATCTGAAGTGCTCCAATTTTGAAAAACTGTTATTTTGATTAAAATATACTTACTATTTAATTAAAAACCATGACTTTTAAATAAAAGAAGTAAGCTAATATTACTAAGCAAATTAGGTTTTAATAATTCCAACTTTACTTGATTTGCTTGTAATAATTCCAACTTTTGATTATTTCATCTCACACTAAGCTTGACCTATGGGAGATTGAACAAATTAACATCCAAAAGAAACCTAACGGTGCTGACACTATCACCGCCACCCCGGAACCCAAATTTTCTCTTTCACATATCTGATTACAATTCCTGCAATGTTTCATCTTCCCTAATCTATTAGAGCATTCATCACTCATCCCCCCAACCTCATCTCTGTAACATCTTCTTTTCTCTCTCCTTTGCCAAATCTAGAACCTATTTCAGCGGAAGATTCTGCCGGCGCACCTCAACGTGTTTAATTGGTGCTAAAAAGAGGGGAGAGAGAGAAATGTGTGAGGGTGAGACAGGAACAGTTGCAGGTGGGGCTGGGTGCAGTGGTTTAGGGTGGCTTTTGGGAGTGATGGTCATGGGTAGTGACGCTAGGTGGTGGCTCAGCTGGGAGAGAACGCCACTGATGGAATTATGCTAGTGGTCTGACAAATAGCTATATATCAGGCATCCTGTTATAAGATTTTGTATTACAGCAAAAGGTTTCTTTTTGGTCGTTCAAGATAGTCTAAGAGTCCTTGAGATAATTAAAATCAACCTAAACTGATGTGGATTCTAACCCCTTGTTTATTCAAGTTCTTAGAAAACCCACAATCTTGAAATAAAGATCCAATCTTGAAGGATTTCTTTAAGATTGAATATAAACGAACCGATATTTCTCCTCACAAAATCACTCCTGAAACTTATGATTCGAATCTCCAAATTAATTAACCCACCCCTGGACGCTAATTATTTTGAGATTAAACTCTTAGCCTACTCCTAGACACTAAGTGTTTAATGTTCTAATCTTCAACCAGCTCCTTGAATTGAAAACTAGCAAAGAAAAGTTTAAACAAAGTTAAACTAAAACAATTTTTACTAATCTCAATTTCATGTCTATCAACAGCCGCGAAATTACAACTATTTATAGACTAAAAATAAGTAATTCTAAACCTACTAGGACTAGGACAAGCCCCTAGCTTGTAGCTCCAAGCAACCTAAGTGGAATAGGAATACTAAACCTACTTAGATTAGGAAACTATCAACACTGACCTACTTGGCAGTTTGTGCGGTTTTGGTTTTTGCCTTCATTGACTGACCAAATGAACTCTGATTCTTGTGAAACCACTTTCATTAGTTAGCTGACATCTTGGCGTTTCCAAAAACATATTATAAGGCATATGTTTTCCTTGAGCTTCAAGTCCGTATCTGCAGTTCTTTAAACTCCTACGAAAAGTAACAAACTCCTAGAAACATAAGGAAACGTATAGACTAAGAGATACGATAATAAAATAAATCCTAAGTGCTTAAACCAAGAAAAACCTTTTCAAGTGAAAGGTAAAAACTTGTAAGCAAAAATCTAAAAGAAACTAAGTAAAAATATTAAATGATGCATTTCTTTTCGGGTAGCCTATATTGGAGTTATTTAGACCCTTCCAAAGAATTTCCCTCTTGATTCACATCATAAACTTAGGTCAAGTCTGGATTGATTGAGCTTAAAAACTTGTAGGGGCAAGCTCTTGTTGAACATGTGCATAGCAAACATAAAAAAAGATGAATGGATTATAGTTTTAGCAGTTTAGCTAATACAATTTCCTGTCACGTTTTACCTTTTGCAATTAACCCAAAATGATCTTAACAAAATGTTAAATTGGGCAAGTAAAATAAGACAGGGAATATATCAATTTTTGCCTTTTGAATGTAGTGACTGAAAGGGGAGATGTAGTTTGTTTCTAATTCTTGGAATCTCATAAATACACTATTTTAAATTTCTATATTTTGTTCCACGATGAGTATAATTCATCGCTTTATTAACTTAAAATTACTAACCTAGGTGCTTCCTCTTGTGTATGATGACATCAGTCTTTGATGACAATAGTTTGATATAAGGTCTTAAATTGTACAAGTAAAATGAATTGAAATAAATAATAAAAATAAAATGAAAACAAGGCTTGAACTGGCCCAATTGAATGGAATATGGCATTATGGGTTGTTTCTAATTTCTGGAATCTCAAATAAATTATTTTAATTTCTATATTTTGTTCCATGATGAGTATAATTTATCGCTTTATTGACTTAAAATTACTGACCTATGTGCTTCCTCTTGTGTATGGTGACATCAGTGTTTGATGACAATAGTTTGATCATGATGGTAATTATCATGATCATGGTAACATTTGTGCATTAAATACTTTGTTGGAAGCATTGCATGAAGGATCATGGTTGATGTCTATGATTTTTAATATGGTTGTACCTATTATCTTTCCAAGATTACTGATCTGTCAATTTTATCATGTTTGTATGTCTTATGTGATTTTAGTTGAGCACAATCATTTCTGACAAGCTCAGAAAGATGAAGCACCAATATGTTCAGCACCAATATGTTCAACATATGACAGATATAATTCCATATAATTTAGTCTTAATGTTTCCTTAGAGTTTAGACCCAATGCAGGTTTATAAATTGCTTTTTGTTAAAAATTACTGACTTGATGATTCCGGAAAAAGTTTAATTGCCAATTCTGCAACCAGTTTCGGGCTGATTCGTTAGAAGTAGAAGTGGATTGAGGATGTTAACAAGCATTGATAGCTAATTGTCGTGTCCTGTTGCGATAGTTTTAAGTACCAAAATTAGTTGTGACACCTTATAAAAAGTATAAGATTGCTCTTATGATTGGCGTGTTGCCAATTATACCCTTCAAAATGTGTATTTACATGTTTACCCTCATTAATATGTACACTTAAATAAATGTGCTACACGTGTCAACTATATTGTGCTATTGTAAATGTCTTGCTACTAAATACTCATAAAATCTGTTTTTTTGTAATTCTAATTTGTTATGTAATTCTGAGTTTTTTATAGGACGGGGCTTAGGGAGGTCATGGGGATTCAAGGAGTTGATGGATGCAAAACAGAGAGCAATCATATTATTGAAGTCCAACAAACTCTTGGAATAGAGGCTGCAAGGAGTTCTATCATCAGAGAAATTAACAAGGTCATGCAAAGTCATTCTATGGATGTAGACATACGCCATATGATGCTGCTCGCTGATGTGATGACATTTAAGGTTATATCTTTATTCATGATTTCTGTTCACATTGATAGGGATGGTTCCTTTTATTTTCTGAAAACAGATTAAATATTTGTTGCCTTTATTGCTCATGTAACAGGGGGAGGTTTTAGCAGTTACTAGAGTTGGGATTGCTAAAATGAAAGAAAGTATACTGATGTTGGCATCTTTTGAAAAAACTGCTGATCATCTTTTTAATGGTTCTGTGAATGGGAGGGAAGAAAAAATTGAAGGAGTTAGTGAATGCATCATCATGGGTGTACCAATGCAGATTGGCACTGGAATTTTGAAGATTATGCAGAGGTACGTTGACAATATATTATTGTGGTGGGCTTTATTTTTTGTTCCAAGTGCCTTGCTTGTTTGGGTTTATAAATGTGTTACATGCATCAATTATATTGTGTTATTGTAGATGTCTTGACGTGTTGCTACTAAATCTGCAATTTTAAGTATATATGATGGCTTTAGGACATGTTTACTAGAAATAATTTGAGTAATTTGTCTTGTTTTAATTGACAAGATGTAAAGAAAAATATTGAATAGCACCAAGTGGTTACCAATGTCAAAGGAGTGGTTAAAGACAGTCTTGTTTTCCAATTGTTGTTGACAATGTTGCCCTGTGAATAATGACGAGTGCGCTGTTGCTCAAAGAATCCTGAAGAAAGAGAAATGGTATGTGTGAAGAAACTTTGCCAATGAGAAATCTAATTTTCTTTCCCTTCAATTTTATCTCAAGGCTACCGAAAGGAACCAGCTTCTGCACTTTTCCTGATCCGAGTGTGTTAACCTTAAGGGTTGTACCGAAGAGAAAGCAGGCATAAAACAAATTTTAAAAGGGAGAATCGTGAGGATTAAATGACTTATCCCCTTTCTCTCTGCATAACTGTCATGCTTAGAAGATTGGCTTTTTTCTTACTCCTAAGGTCTTACACCAGCCACTCACATTTAAAATAGGTTAAAGTTCAGATAGCCTTGAAAGGAAATGCAGGAACATGTTTGTGGTTGCCTTTATGGTGAATTAATAGGGAAGCGTCCCTAACTTATAGGAAACTCATCAGTTCACTCTTGATTTTATATTTACCTGTTGGGCAAATACATTTTTCTAATTCCAGTTTTCTATAAAAAATAACCATAGAGAAGTAATTCCCTATTCTAATGGTAGCCATTCAGAGACTTGGTTGTGTGTAACAAGTATCTTCAAGGTTTGTGAAGATGAAACCTTCCTACTCTCCCATCCCAACCTTTGAACACTATATCCAAACATATAGCAATCCCATTTGCCTCTAAAGAGGCTCACACCCAAGGTTTAAAGAAAGTTGGATGTAGACACCCATGCTCCTCCTGTTACGATTCTCAGTGTTTTTATTTTTTCAATTTAAATCTGAAACACAACTCTCAATGTTTTTATTTTTTCAACTGCATATACCAACTTGATGCAGATGTTCTGTGAAGTTTCATCTTGACTTAGGAACATGTCAGTGTTTTTATTTTTTTCAACTGCATATACTAACTTAATGCAGATGTTCTGTGAAATTGAATCCTGACTTTGGAATATGTTGTTTGGGACAGCATCTTTGATTACATAAAAAATGAAATCTTATGTCGGAAATTTATTCTCAACTGTCAACCTGTAATAACGGGGATGATAAATACTGAATCGATGTGGTGGTTCTGTGAAACACCTTCTAAGCTAATTAACTCAAACTTCTTTTCCTAAAGAGAAGCCAACAGACCATGTTGTTGGGTTAATAAAACTTAATTAGCTAAATGAAATCCTTTGTTGGGTATCATTAATCAATCGACAAAGCACAATGACTATGGAAGTGGCATAATGAAATATTGTAAAACTCGGTAAAGTGCTGCTTCACTGTGAACTTTTTTCTTCTTAGCATGAGCTTAGATTTATGTCCTACAACTGTCAATGGAAAGCTCTAAAGAGTTGTATCTAACAAAGTTGCAGCCTTTTTAAACCGAAGATGTTAGATAACACAATTTCGTGGTATTTCAGATTTGACTCACTTTTAATTAGTTTCATTTTTTAGCAAACCCCATTTACCTACTTACCCCAACTTCATCTGTTTTACTTTATCCACCTTTTATCTTACCCTACCCAGCTGTTTACTCCAATTCTCTTACTTTATCCCTCCCCCACACCCCACCTTCTCACCCCCACCCCTTTTTATTAGCCTCTAATTTTTCCTAACATATAAAAAAGTCTATAGTAAGTGACTCAAACTTTTAGTAATAGAGGGAGTACATCAAAAATATTTGCTGGTGAACCAATTTTAATATTTCGTATGAATTTTACTGAAATTTCATAATTTATTAGCACCTTGCATCATGTCCATTGATGTCCAGTGAAAGATAATGTACTTGTTTTATGTATGGGCTTGAACTTGCACTGTGCATACATCAGAAGTTTTTAGATCCAAACCTAATTTAATTACAATTTTTTCACCCTTATACAGAAATGATTTTCTGCCAGCACTCAAATACGCATCAGAACCGATAGTTTCTTGATTGATTAAGTAAGAGCCAATGATAGAACAAGCAACATCAATTTAATGTTTAAAATGCAAAGACCAGGTAAAGTATTGGATGTTTTTCATTCATTACAACTTCTCTCTCAAATTTGATCTTTTCTTGCCATTTTTTTTAATCTGCGCAGGACTTATGAACTTTTTCTCCACTATGCAGGATGGTTATATAGCAACTGTGACCTGAAATTGGCCTGATCTTATCTGGAACTATTTGATTGCATACAACCCTGATTTGGGGTTGCTGAAAAAATCATTCCAAATCAGAGAGGTACATAACTTAGCGTAGCTAATAATGTTATTAATCAGGAGAACTCTTGTTTACTTATTATTGCTCGAGTTCACAAAACTAATAATACATCTGTAAGTGTCACATTAGTTATACCGAATAATTTAGTGAGCGTGTTCATAGTTTGAGGATAGGAGAACTGAAGTACTGATTAATCGGAGTTTTTATTTATACAGTGATCATCACAATTCTCTTCTGGATACTATTTTTGGAAACAGGCTCTATACTGGTTCAGTTCCGAAGAAGATGAGGCTACACTTTGAAGAAGATAGGCTCCTTTATTTTTAAAATTTATTTTTATTTATATTTTGTTTTATCCTATCTACTGTAGTTCAAGTACTCCCTTTATATTCTATTACTTGCTCCACTCTCCTTTTCCAGCAGCATTTTATTATTACTTGCTCCATTTCTTATTTTGAAAACTTTTTTAACAATATTTTACTATTTTCCTTTCCACAGTGGTCCCTTATTTTAACATTTTTCATATTCTATCTCCTTCCCACTTTATTCACTTTTGCTTTTTTAGTTTTTATTTTTTTAATTTTTAATTTTTATTCTTCTACCAATACCACTTCCATCATATTTTATTACTCTGTACTGTTCCTCCTAAAACTCTATATATGGAGAAATGGAGTTAGTAATAAAATACGGAGGGAGTATGATACGTAAAGTAATAAATAAACTGGAGTTATCTGAGAAAATGAATGATGATGATGTTACCCAATATTTTAACTTATTTATTTTTTTGAAAATTTGTATTTCGCCATCTTTGAGAATCTTATCCCTTTTTTTTATTTTAAATTATTGGTTTAACCACCTAAAAAAAGGACAAAAAAAAAAAATATTATCACCACTTAATGGTTATTGTTAATTTCAGTATAAATAAATTTTCTCGTTATCATGCTGAATATATGTTCTTTTAAAGTTTTGGCCTTATTGGGTCATTTTGGCTTTTGGGTCCGTTTTGCATGGGTACATGATGTGTTAACTAGCTAAGTTGCTCGGATTTCTAAACTATATAACGAAATACAATGTTATTTTAATGAAAGTATATTAACAAGAATTACATTTACTATTTACGGAAGTAGTATAACTAAACAAAACAAAACAAAACAAATTGAATTATTTTACCTATACCGATGTCAAGGTTTTATTTTTCTTTTCTAATAATGTAAAGGTTTAGGGTTTAAGGTTTATGGTTATTGATGCGTTAGACTAAATATATATATATATCTGAAAAGATTTAGGGAGTATAGATTGTTTGGAACTCATGCTATACACCTTATCTGTTCCTATTTGTTGATATAGTTAGACCGACACAATGTTACATGAAAATTTAATTTATCTTCATTTTATTTTGCTAACATAGAAATCAAATGTTTGTAAAATTAATGAGTAGTAGGGTTTTTATTTAAATTTATAAGAAGTGGGATATTTTGTTGTTGAATAATAAAGTGGAGTATATACATTCATACATGTAATAATTGTTTATGTAAAAAATTGCTTAAGGAGACAACCCTTGGTTGGGACTTTGTTATGCTATTAGATTTAGGTTAAATGAAATAAAATGCGTAAAGTAAATGACGGAAAATAAAGAGAGAAGAAAGACACGATATGATGACACAAAAACCCCAGTGAAAATAGGAAAAAACCGTGGGTGGCTATGAATCTACCAATGCACTATAAAACAGGCATAAAGCCAATAATTACAATTACATTGCGTTTCGATATTTGTTAAAATAAAGAGTATAAATAAATGTAAGCATCTTGGACGTAGACTTTATGCTATAGCAGATGGGTATTTTGATGTAGTATGACAATTTATGAAAGTATGCTTACATACTTGCATTTGAGGAGCAAGATGGGATTACAATATATGGTAGTTTGGATGATGAAATGTAATGTGGATTATGGAGAATAAGGTGAAAGTTTCGTAAGGTATTCATAGGTATATCATGGCGTCCTCCTTACAGCCTCTTTGATGTAGCGTTGCTCCGGAATGAATCAGTTAATGGCTCCTTGATTTACTCGACCACCTCCTTGATCTTCTTAACTCCCTTTGAAGTTGTCCAACAAGCAAGTTTCTTGATAGCAGTAGCACGTAAATATGAGTTAGTCATTGACTTCTCTACTTGATCTTCTGATGACCTTAGACTTATTTAAGGTGCACAGACGATCAAACAATTTCAAAGACTTATTAGTGTTGACAACTTGACATGCATTCTCTCCTTGATTGACTTGGTCGTTGGTTGTCAACGTTGGTCAATGTTATCGAATTGATTTTTTTTTTTTCAATAATAAAATAAATTTTATTGCCAAATAGTAAAGTTAGAGCAAACAAATATTAGAATAATGATATTTTATAGAAATCTTAAATTGTTAATGTTATTCTAATACATTACCCCTAGCCTTCAATCAGCCACCACCCTCAACCACCACCACCACCACCACCAACCCCTACCGTCCCACCACCGTCGACCACCACCAACCACCACCTCCCGCCACTTTCGACCACCCTTATGCACTTCAAAACACTCCAACCACCCCCGGCAACACTACAACCACCCCCACCACCAACCCCAACCTTACCACCACCATCGACCACCACCAACCACCACCTCCTAGGACTTTCGTCCACCCTTAAGCACTTTAAAACACTCCAACCACCCCCAACAGCACTACAACCACCATGAACCACCACATTAACCACCACGGGCTATCGCTTCTACCCTATTTCTCATTATGGAGCCTAAATGTCTGCTGTTTGATATATATCGGCCTAGAAGGATCTATTTTGACTGACATAAGTCCAATTTGGACAAATAAGGAAATTAAAATTCAAACCACACACAGATTCATTCAAAAAACATTTATTATATTAATAATGTAAGTGTTATATACATCATTCTAGAAAATCCGGCTACAACAAATAAATCAGCTAATACTATCCCGACTCATTTATTCGGGGTAACTGTTCTCTATCCTGTCTGTCGGCCCTCCGTCTGACATTACGCCGCCTGTAATGAGTAATGGTGGTGAATGGGTCTCGGGGCGGTGGGGGAGTCTGCTGGCTGGACGATGTGTCCTCCTGCGTAGGGGTGGGCGCAGAACTGTGGATGATGTAATCCTTTGCGTGTCTGGGTGACGTAGGATCTCCTCCACCGCTACTCTGGCTGAGCTCGAACTGTGAATGGACGGAGTGGCCATCATGACCGTCCCACTGGTGGACAAGATAGCCGTGACCATATCTCTGTAAGGTAGCCACGCCCATATCTCGCACCCGCTTGACCTCGGCTCTGGTGGATCTGTCTGATAGTGCATCAACCATCGCCACCATATCCGCCGCCTGCAGTAATCATCGATCAGTGAGTTGCATGATATAGAAATTAAAAATTTGATGAAAATAAGTAGAATAAAAGAAACTCACATATCTGCTAATGACGTCATATGCTGGATGGTAATGTGTGGATGGTGGTGTGTAGCTGGGGTTGATGAAACGCCGTGTAATCTGCCTGTACTAGACCATGTACGGAACATGAGGATCCATAACGCCCTGCATCGGATCACCTTCAACGATGAACTCCAACCGTCATTGCCATAGGTTTATGTAAAACCTATGCTCAACTGACCAGTTTGTCTCCCCCTTTCCCCGACGGTCAATGCCGTGCAGGAGGATACTAGCGTCACACTCCAAAGGGACAGGCTGGCGTAGTACAAACTGTCTCATGACTCGGTCGGGTAGGTGACTCTCCACAACCTCGAAACATATCATGGGGGTCCTGGCACGCCACTCTGCCTGATGATCCAGCAGATGAGCAGGCATGGCATCAACTAAGTCAGCTACATACGGATCCTATGTCACCTGCAAAAACACATCAAAAGTAATACCGTAAATAGGTTAGTGCACTGACAAGAATCATATTAAATAAATGTTCACAAATTCCTTTTAAGTTACCACTTGATCCTCGGTGAGTCGGTCAAGGGCATCTCGGTAGTACGGAAGACCCCTCGCTGCATGCGCGAGTGTCAGTCTGGGGACCACCCACCTAATACCAAAAAAATGTTTTAGTTTGTTAACTAGCAAAATAAAACCGTATGAAGTCTACAATAATTACAACTGTAAAAAACCTACAACCGTACGCCTCGTAAGGTGTTGGGAGCGGTGGAGCATCGTACGAATGGTACTGGTCGTCCTGGTCCTGTTGCCCCTGACGACGTACAACAGGCCTACCTGGTCTGCCTACATGGATATGCTCCCAAGCCCATAACTGTTAGGATTACAGTGGTTTCAAACAAGAAAACACTTAAAACAATGTGGGGAACAAATCCTAAAATATGATTACAATATAATTGTAAATGTCAAATACAATTGAATGTATCACAATCAAGTATTAAATATATCAAAGAAATACTGAAAATTACAAAGATTACACTAGTGTGAAGATGATCAAACTTGCCTTTCCTCCAAGCCGATAATACAGAGCATGAACATGAGAAAACCAATGTCCCGTAAGACTAGAACCTTGATACACTGTCAAAGGTGTGTAAACACTTTCCTAAAGAGGTTTATTTCCTCCACACGGTGCTTGGGTTAAACAGTAAATCCTCTTACTTTGATATAATTGATAGAAAAATTTCGTTCTTAGCACTAGAATCGAAATGCAATGAATAATTCACAAAGATTGATTAAATTTCAAGTGTTTTCAAAGAGAAGATAGCAAGTTTTCTCTATGAAAAGTGTGGAGAAATAAACTTGGAGAGGAAGAGCAAGAAGAAAACTGATATTATCTCTCCTTCTTTCATTCGTTTCTTTTGAAATAAAAGAACGAAAATCGCAACCGCCAGAGGGCCGCGAGCGCGGGTGCTTGGGCCGCGGGCGCGGTAGCCCTACACGCGGGCGCGGACAGGGTGAAAGTGAATTTCACCCAACTTACTGGAGATTCCGAGCCGCGGGCGCGGGTGCCTGGTACGCGGGCGCGGCAGCCCCACCTGCGGGTGCGGACAGGGTGAAAATGAATTTCATCCATCTCCACCCAACTCACTAGAGATGTCGGGTCGCGCCCAAGCTGCGGGCGCGGCTATCCGGCTCTCCACATACACTCTATATATTCCAACAATAACTGGAACATAAAAATACAAAACTAGGTTATGTATAAACTAGGTAAGTAATAGACAAAATAGATTCTTGATAATTAGGCGAGTTACCTGAAGCACAATCAAAGGACCTCCGATCTCGCCAGAACCGCGGTAGGATGCTCTACACAGTT